CCATTTCCTATCGTTACACTACCACTGAAAGAGCACTACCTCCAAAGGAATGTATCCAGCATCCTCTCCCTTATTATATATATATAGCTTACATATATATACTGCAACAGTTATAAAATATATAAGCACTTATTTTAAGAAACACATAAATTAGAATGTTTATGTGTTTATTAAAAGTGCTTAGAGCAGGAGGCCTGTCCTGCTAAATCCCCTCTGCTCATGATTCAAGCTGACAACCTGCAGGTTTTGTTTCTCGCTGTAAACAGGCATGTGCAAAAGACTGGGCTCATCTTCCAATACAGATAGGAAATTATTTCCTTCAAGGGGCTGCAAGAAGAGAGATTTTTATTTTTATTCTTCATGCAATTATTACTAGCTCCTTAGCATCACTATTTGGGATTGCCTGGGACACTTGGTGAGAGAAGCCTTTTGCTCCACGGTCATTTCCTTTCATTCCTCAGGCCAGTGCGAAGGTAAAATAAAGACATGGGCACTCATATTCGACCGAGTGAACAAAGGAACGCATTTGATGCTCGGGGCGAGACAACTACAAGTCCTTCGAGGCAGGTAAGCAGCCTTTACTGTGACTTCTCGCCTCCACCTCTCGGGAAGGGCAGAGTGTCTTTCCCCGCCTCGGCGCAGCGCGGCCGCCCTCTCTCGGCTCCCCACGGTGGTGCGACCAGCCACCACCCGCCGCGTTACCAGCGCGTTACTGACAGACGGACAGGGAAATAGAAACAGAAAGAAAGAAGGAAAGAAGGAAAGGGAAGGGAGGGAGGGAGGAAAAAAAGAGAGACACCACAACCAGGCCCCAATAGAAAAAAATGAAACGAAGAAAAAAAAAAGATAAAAGAAAAAAAAAATTAAAAAAAGGGGGGGAGGGAGGGAGAAAAGAGAGGATTAAAAAAAAAACGGGGGGGGGGGGGGGGGGGAACCAGGAGGGAAATACAAAAACAAAGAAAAAAGAGATTAAAAAGGAAAGGACAAAGGAGAAAATGGGGGAACGCAAAAAAAAAAAAAAAAAGAGAAAAAGGTGAAAAATTGAGAAAAAGGGGGGGGAAGGGGAAAAAACAGGAAAAAGGGGAGAAAGGGAGGGAAAGGAGAAATGGGAAAAAAAGGAAAGGGTGGAAGTATGGGGAGAAGGGGGTGATGGGGGAAAAAGAAGAAACACAAAAGATGAAAAAAGAAGGGGGGGGGGAGGGAAGAGAGAGTTTTCTTCACTGAAGGAGGCACTGGAACAAGCTCCCAAGGAAGCAGTTGTGGCCCAAGTGTGTCGCTGTTCAGTAAGTATTTGTACGATGCTCTTAGATATCTGGTTTCACTTTTAGGTTGTCCTGTGTGGAGTCAGAAGTTGGACTCAGTGATACTCACGGGTTCCTTCCAACTTGGGATATTCTACAATTCTAAGGAGTGGTACTAAAACTCAATTCAACTTATTTACAGTACTTGCAGGACAGGATCTCAAATACCATGCAAATGCACATGCTAACATTTAATGAAATGGAAGAAAGGAAATACACGTTTGTCCTACCATATTTTTTCTCATTAGTTGTTTTGTAAAAGAGTATTAAATTAAATCAAGGATTGATGCCATAGTAAAACAGTGTCAGACCCACCAATTCTTGCTTCTGGGGCGCGGAATATGTTATGCCACACACTGTGGAAGGCAGTGATGTAGAAGACAGGCGGGGAAGGGATACAGAAAACATTACCTCCATTTCACAGGTTCAAAAGAGAAACACAAGAAAACTACAAGCAACACCCAAAGTCACCTGTGCACTGGACTGAGCTGGGGGTATAGCACAAAAGCAGCAGCATTTTGATCTGCTCCAGCATGGCATTTCAAGGAAGCAGGGGAGAAGCTGTGTGCAGATGTCTCTGTGCCGTTACTGACACAACACTGCCATTTTTACTTGTAGGGATTCTGGAGGAACAAAGACTTTCCGCCTTCTGTCATAACTGCCTGGAGGTTCTCCTGACCTTTTCCTTTTCCCCTCCCATTTTTCCAGGTGATTAAACAGTGCAGTCGGAAAGCGTGACTATAATGCCAAGAAGCCAGCAATTTTAACACCACAAAAGGATAATTATGCAATACTTCAGGCCATATTAGTTTCAGTATGGACTGACCCTCAGCTGGGGATGACAGAGTGCCAACAGTACCCAGCACAATGACTGACAGAACTGGGACATGGAAAATTGCACTTTTGAAGCCTGGAGCTGAATGAGAGCTATGGGATATGCTTTGCATTAAAAAAACATGTACTATATTCTTAGAACAAGCGATAAAGTAGGACAGCACACGAGTACTTCCCTTCTAAATCATTTTGATACCTTTTATAGCCTCCTCATTCTCCTTTGCTAGTCTGTGAGAGATGGTTGTCTGTACTACTTGGCATAACATTACATATATTCTTACACTATACTACAGATTTGTTCTAAATTAAAGAGATTTTCCTACCTGCAAAAGTCAAATTAATTGAAAGAACAGCTTAAGGTGTGGCATCTGTCAATGGGTGAGTAAAGAGACTGCTTTTCCTCCTCTCAAATCAGAGCTGCAATTGAGCCTCAGCACATTATTGCTGTATGAGAGGTCTCAAGTGTCGCACCTGTAAATGCACAATCAAGGCACTCAAGCATACACAATTCTGACTTCCTGTCAAATCTTAGCTCATATCTTCGCTGCCTGTGTGGTTCGTAACATTCCCAGCCTGTACATGCCTGGTACTGAATGTGAGCAATCAGGGCACCACAGGTAAGATCCTGAATGGGGAAGAACCTAGGGTTAGCCAGAAGTAAACATACAGCATAGACGACATTTATGTTGTCCCACAGGTTTTTCACCTGGCCAGAAAGCAACCTGCATTCCATTTCTCTGTTTCAGGATGTTTCTGTATTTTTGCTAGTTACTATTTAGCTTTAAAAGATGACTAAAAAAATAGTTGCTTCTGTTTCCACAGGTCCCAGGTACTCTGTGCTCTCTTCTCTGCTGTGGTGTGGCTTCCCCAGGAAATATTCCCATATAGGATATCCAGTGGCCTAAGGCACAGAGCCTTCTCCTGGAAAGGGAGCTTGAACCCATCCAAAGCAGGAACTGAAGGCAGCTCAACATACCTCACATTCCAGGACTTATGGTAAGTAACCGCTATTACAAAGGCAGGTACATTTATTCATCCCCTTACAAAGTCCAAGACAAGCTCCTACTTACAAGAAATCATTTATCTGCCAAAGGGAATAGGAAATTCCCTCCTTTAGTCTTGTTTGGACCCCTCAGGAGACAGATACTTCACATTTTCTATTGCCACCCAGCTTCCAGCAGGCACTGTAGATGTGGCAGCAACACGTGCAATTGAGGGCCTGTGTCTTCACTCCAGGAAGCAAGGATTTGATAACTCAAACCCTCTTCTTCTGTCATTATAACGTATCAAGAGTCCTGAAGGCATAATTCAACTCTGAGTTGTTGAATCCTGGTGACGCAGCCTGTGTATTGTAAAACTACTTTCCATTTCTGTGCTTGATTTAAAAAGTCAGTACTCATTTCAGCTCATGCTGACAACCGATACGGTCAGTAACACTAAACTAACATTTTTACTTTCAGAGTGTGCTTTGAATAGAGTAGCCTCAATTTATAAATTATTTTAATAGTGCATTTTTTTAAAATAACTAAATCCCACTCTCCAAACATTATATCCATATGCAAGCTGACTCACAGCATGGAGTTTCACTGAACCCATAGCATGGTCACAGCAAATTCAATGTAAAAGTAACAATCTCTATCTATAGAGAGACCACCCTCAGTGAAAGAAAAATCACCAAACCCTACACAATGAAAACAGGAAAAAAACCCTTGGAGGATTATCCAACAATCAGCCTAAAAGCACAGGCAGGCAGTCTGGAAAAGGGATTTTAATGTCTTTAGTTCTTGAATGGCTCTACAAAATTCTATAGCAGGGATGAAATTTTCTATTCAATTACACAGGGAGACTTAAAATATATAAAGGTAATTAAAAAACGGCTGTTGGATTTTGCTTACAGCACGGTCAAAAGAGGCTATGATTTAACTGAGACTAGAATTTTAGACATGCCTTTACATGTTTTTAGTGTTGCTCCCTGCAGACCCAGCCTGTACAGATCAGGTTATTTACAGATTAAGTGCCTGGAAACAGAGAGGTTAAAATATGAGATACATTAAAAAATCTGGGATTAATTTTGCAACTTTTGCTAAGAGATCCAGTAACATACAAGTGACCTAACATCTATAGACCTGCTTGTAATTACTACTTTCTATTACAACATTCAAACTACTGCCACGTGTTCGCATTGATTCATGACAATGGAAATGTCACTGGATCAGTAATGTTAAATGCCATTTTCAGAACAGCAAATACAAGTTTTGAAGTGACCAGTGAAATGGAGCAATTATGTAGTTTAGTATTTGCTTTATGGTCTTTGACAGAACTATTACAAATTCCTTTAAGCACTATAAAATGGTAAGTGCATAAGATGTAAGTTAATTTAAACCTACTTTGCCATAATTACATTATGCAGTTGACAAAGTTTACATATGATCAATGGCATAGAGGTGCCAGAGTAAAATCTTAAATAGTCACTACATAAAATAACACTTTAAAATATGAGTTACACACTGTAAGAATCCTAGTTTATCAATAATTATGTATTTCAAAAGAGCAGGTTGATAAAGTATTTTCTTTAATACATTTCTTGCCTCTATCTGCCATGATGGTGCTAAGCCTGTATTACCTGTGCCTGCACAAACATAGCCAGGAGATGGAGTGCAGGAGAAGCAGTCAGGATTGAAGTGTCAACAAAGGCATCAGGTGCTGCTGATGCCTCTTCTACACTACAGAACCAGGAATTATCTGGACTCCAAGGTTTCCTGGTAAAGACGGATTTGAAGAGGCATAGCCACTTCCCTTCATGATAAAAAATAAATGCTGATAGATTCTAGCATCAAATAAGCCTGTAAGATCAGAATTACAGTGTTAATGTTAAGCTGTTTTATTCTAGTTATACAGTCCTTTGGCCACATCACATTCAACTGTTCATTTAGCCTAGCACAGATCTCAATTAATCAATCCACAGGGTAAGTTTCTTTCCAAAACAGTTTTAATGCAGTGCTAATGAAGGCCCCTTAGTTAATCTTCTGCCCCTTCATTTAAAAAGTGATTTTAAACATAATTCAAAGAGCACTTTGATACTAACAGTTCACTGCAAAGACTTCCACTGAGAAGAAAACAGTAAGGTAAAAAGTCCCACACCCTCTACCCTCATACACTCAGAAAAGATACAAAGACATGACAAAGATTTGTAAGACATTTTACTTGTAGAAAACATCATTGTACCATAATGTCACAATAAAAAGGTAAAATCTGTTTGGTGTTACACAGACATGGCGTATCAGTGTACCATGGTGTATCAACAGGTAAAACAGACTGTAATACTTCGTATGAAAGGTATGAGATACACTGCTGGATTTAGCCACAAAGTCCTGGTGCCTCTTTGTGGATACTTTCTTAATTACAGGTCCTCTCTGCTACATACAGCATCTTTTGGAATACAAAAACTGGGAGTGTTAAAAGACACTTAAATTTATCTGGAATGCTCAAACCCAGAACCAGTTTCTCACTACACAATAACAGCTCTACCAGATCATTGAAACAAATGGCACCTTGTATGTAAACTATCTGTCCCATCATCCCATTCTCTCCTTATATAAAAAAAGACAAAAATTATCTTAATAGAGAAAATTGTTTCATCTTCTTGCTTCTGTATTCATGCAACTTCAGTATCAGATTTCTTTATTCAGATACTAAACTTTAAAATGAACAATTACTTATCGTGGGTCTTTTCCACCATCTTCAGTGCTAATCTTCCAACCATTAGCAAACTGTTAAGGGGGGGAAACACAGAATTTAGTAATAATAATAACAATAATAATAATAATATCAATTCATTTTCAAATACTTCCCATGTAACTGCTGCATGAAAACAAAATTCACAAAATATGATTCACTCCATCTCTGTTTAATTAAGCAAATAAGAAATTACACATAGGAGATTAAAGAAAAAAAGTATACTCTGTTTTACCTGACACCAGCAATTAGTCCTGCAGGCATGAATTTTCCAGAGTTGTAAAATCTTGTTCCCATGACAGCAGTCAGTGTTCCAGATGTAACTTAAATGAGAGATTATAGAGTACAGTCAGGCAGAGATGCATGTGAGAGAGATTGTACAATTCAGAACTAACAGAATAGAGAGAAGTAAGAAGTGAAAGGGGGTTGTTTCATGTGATAGACTAAAAGAGTCAAACTTTGGAATGCCTCAATACATGAAAATATTCTGAATCAAGTTCTAGCAGACAGTGCACTCCATATGATTCTGCACACGCTCCTCAAGTTTCTTTGTCAAAACATACCTCTGGAGACTAGAAAAAAAAAAATCTATGCTCAATTCCTCTGGAACCTACTCCTTCCCTCTGCACAGGTGAATCACTAAACGTGCACATAATTCCCTCACTTTTCGTAAAAGGCAGAGCATTTTTGTGTCTAACTTGCAGTAATGTTCAGAGAATTAACTGATTTATGCTTGCAAAAGACTTCAAAAGGGAAACGTGCTTATGTAAGTGCTAAGCACCCATCCATTTCAGCCCTGCTAGACCTTCCACTAAGATCAGAGAGTACAACGTATCCTGACTACTTGATGGAGACACAGAGCCAGGTAGTTTCCCTGAGTCAGTAAAACAGAAACAGCAATCCCTGGAATGCAGTATCTCAAAGAAACACTGAATACTAAGAAAACTACAGGCAAATCTTATCAATGTAATCCTTAGTTTTAGCACACATCTGCTACCCAGTGGTAACAACTACACACAACATGCTATTCCAATCACTCTTCTGCAATTGCTTCTGTGTAGTGACTGGTCCTGAAGGACCCAGCTCATATCAAATCCCAATCATGGCATCCTTCCTCCCTAACACCACCCTAAATATTCTCATTGACATCTAGCAATCTCATATAAGGAGATATGCAAGAGATTAGGACAAGAAAGAACTAAAATATTTCAGTATTCAAATGCCTCAACCTCTAATCAGTAGCCAGTCTTCATATGCACACTTCACTACATGTAATTTTGTCTGAAACAGAATACACCTTCTCATAAAACTTCAAGCACAAAAAGGACAAAGACTCCATATACTACTGAATTACAGAAATGTTTCTGACTGTCTCACATGTTGGAAAATACTTTCTCACTCCTCTTAAGCTTTCTGTATCTGCACAGTTCACTCCAATTATTTAGGCTTGATCACGCACAGGTTTGACCTATCTAATCAGTGTGGAAGTGGATTGCACTGCAGTCAATGCTGAAGTGGAGAGAAATGCTGGGCCTTTTGCTTTCACTTCTGACTTTCACATATTGAAGAGCTAGACACTGTGTCACTGCTTCAGTGAACAAATGCTATAGTCTGTGGCAACTCTCCAAGAACTAAGCAGTGACTCTCCGTATTTAGCTTCTCCAAGTCAGAGAGAAAGGAAGCTCCAGTTCCAAGAAGGAGGAAGAAGAAATGGCATTACTGAAGCTTGATTCTCTGTTATCTCCCCAGGCATGCAACACGTTTGTAATTCCACGTATTTGTCAAACAAAAATAAGCCAATCACAATCTCTGCCATTTTCAACAATAACAACCTGCTAGGGGTATGGGCAATCTGCAGGAGAATCACACTTCCTGAACTGAAATGCTCCAGCCTCCTGCAGAATGTTGAAAGCAGGATCCAGGCAAAAAGAGGACACACAAAGGTCAGACATCAATTTGCTAGCACTTCCTTTGTACTGTGATCCTTTAAACATGCCAGTACGAGACAAATGCATGGTGGCAGCCACTAATTCAACAAAGCCTGGGGATTGAAACATAGCTAGTGCTAGAAAACTGCCATGCACTGGTATCTTCTATAGACCGTGAATGGAGAGGATACTACCAACACACTGGACAGAGATACAGCAGCCTAACAAGTGTCAGGCACCAGCTCAGCTACAGAAACTTTCTACATGTACTTTCTCAGCTCACTTTAATTGCAAGGTACTCTACTCATTAGTGAACAAGCAAAGTTCAAGTCATGTTATTTTGCAACTGGCATGAGCTTCAGAGACATACAGGTTAAAGTGACAGATGATAATCTGTCCTAACTTGATCGCAACCCTGAGTTCTATATGGTAAATTGCAGAAAGACAAAATTGATGAGATTCACACTGTACTACATACAACTTTTTAAACACAAAATGCTTATTTGCTTTACTTTGCTAAAGGATGTGAAATAGTGGTATTTGGTTTGATTGTTACTTCTAAACTGCTTAAGTTTCACTTCATCCTAGCACACATTTTCCTTCGTAACCTGTAGGTTTTTTGACATTCATAAGACAAACTAATGACAAATAACAAATATTTCCTCTTCTCTTTTTCCTGTAAAAAAGGAACAAAAATGTCAGTTTGAACTATTACCCAAAGCACTGTATAATTCTTGCAAAAGGGATGCAGTAATATAGTGAGAAATCACTGAGCAAGACACACCAAGACAAGCAGTTTTTAATACACATTCACAATATATGCTTTTAAAAAATAACACTAACAGCTCACACTCCAGGGAGAGTAGTTGAGTTTGGCCACTAATGGAGATTTTTCACAAACCCACAAGTTTAAAGACTGGATTGAAACTAGATTTCTAACACCATCAGTTCAACTCTTCTGAAAATGCTTTTATGTACTCGTTTTATGTTAGGATAAATATAATCCCTCCTAATTAAGATTTTTAAACAACTTACTGAGAGAAATCCAAACATTATTTGGATTCTGTGAGAGCTGATAGGCACCCAGTCCAGCCAAACTCCCAAACAAAAGGCCAGCAGCTAGTGATGGGACACTACCTGAATGAGATAATGCATTTATTAGAAGCTTAGAAATAAACTTGCTCATCAGCTTATTTGTTTAGTAAACCACCAACATTAACAGAAAAACAAAAAATGGCATTCATTGTAATAAAGCAGATTAGAGGGTTTTTTTTTTCTTTTAAAATATTAAGACCATGCTGATCTGCACTCAGAAACACATGCAAATACTCTTTCATAAGATACAAACAGCATTAGTATTTAATTCTTTAACAGCAAAGCCATTAATATCCCTATGATGGAAAGAACAGTGAGAAAAGCAGAAGAATCGGTGTTTGTGCAAACTGAAGTGTGTTGTTTCAACACGGTAACACCAGAATTTCTTGAGAGGCAGTGAAGTAGACGAATTAAATATTAAGGGGTTTAGATCAGAAAAAAAAGCATGCGGACTGAACTGGGCAGGAGGGCATGCAGACAAAAAGCGTTGCTGAAGAGTGGAGTTGAATGAGAGAGGTCATAGCTCTTAAATACACCTGAGGTCTGATCCAAAGGTAACTGCAGATTTTAGAAGAATGCTCCCTGGACTCATCTCAACTCTGGATTAAGTCCTCAGTATAAATTATAATCCCAAAATACAAGAAGATAAAGGATATCACATCCAAGTTGGTGATTTAAAGATCACGTCAAGTAATGAAGAGGTATGACCACTGTGAGTGCTGAATGCCCCCAATAAGGCTAATGAAAAATTTAGGACTTTATGTTATTGAGGGTGATTCTTTATATACTCCATTTTCCAGGTCACCTTTAAAAGACTCCGGATTGCAAAGCTAAACTGATAAAAGATCTCCTCTCAATGTTACAGGAGGATTGCATATTGCAACCAGAAAGTAAACGTTTTTTAGTGGTCAACAAAGTAACTGACATTGCTTCAGATCCTGTTTTTTGTATGAAAAGCAAGAGTTAAAAGATGACAGAAAGCGCCAGATGTTCTTGTACATTACAAGATGCACACTCTAGTAAAGAGGCTGTTCTGCACAGAATACAGTTTAGCAACCAACATGTACCTACAATTCTTTCCACAAGCATGGGAGCCAAGAAATGGCCATCATACCCTTGATTTTTATCTCAAGGCATTGTTTAAGCAGTTATGACATACACACTCTAATAGGACAACCACATCACCTTTGGCTCAGGAAGCTCCTGAGTCTCAAAACACTGAGACACAGAGAACTGACTAAATGAAGAGGAAAATCAATCAGTCTTTATTTGCCCTGTTCTTATGTTCTTCCCAAGGCACCTACTGCTGACCACCATCTGTATAGGTAAATAGACCTTCTGATAAAAGAATGTATCACCACCTTAACTTTATGGATGAAGTTTCTAATTTTTTGGTGGTTTCTCCAAGTTATTACTAGGGAAATGACAGTTGTGGGTTTGAATTTTGTTGTTTAATCCCTACAGGTCACCATAAAAGTTCCTGTCCCCCCTTCAAAAATCCTGTGATCCAGATACCCTCGCATCAACATGGCCTCGTCCTCCCATATGGGACGAGATAATAAGGGATTTTCAAAGCTGAAAAGGCAGTATTGCAGCAGGGATGAATCCACAGGTCTGTCTGGAGGAGGGCAAACTCAGAAAAGGGACAGGAAACAAAGGCAGTAGGTCAGAAGGTAATCTTATGATGCAGAGTCCAGAAAAGGAACCAGTTTAAGGATCGATTTGCATTGGTCAGCTCTATTTGGAGAAAGGATCCTTCTGCAAATGCTGCAGCTTGCAGCATACTGTTGCCATCAAACATTAAAACGTGAATAAATCTCTAAGGGGGAAAAAAATGGTAATTTAAGCCATACAGAGCATTTATAATAAATGCTTATATTTAAAGTAGCCGGGAAAAAAAAGCCTTTCTGAAGCAAATTTATGTCAGCTTTCCCAAATAGCACAATGCAGAGGCAGAACAGCAGCATCTACCAGAAAGCACATTGTTGTCTTATCAGCCAAAAACAACAGCTCAACCCAAAAAGCACCACACCCCAACAACAGCAAGTTAGCAGCACATGGCACAAACCGATAAACTTTACATCTGCGTTAACTTCGAGATAGAACGCCTTGGTAAAAAGCCGCCCAGCTCACACAAAGTTACTGGGGGAGTTGAAGGGAGGGAGGAGAGGGAGATACAAGCACCTTTCCACACCGTACCTGCTTTTGCATAGCCAATGACCCCTCCTGATGCCACCAGAGCGGCGTAGCCAAAGCCGAGCCAGTCCACTGCCATGCCGAAAACTGGAAATTAGTGTGAGGATCAGTATCCCAAACCCCAAAACACAGCGTTTTGCCACAGGGACTTTTCCACACGCAAGGCCTACTTAAAGCCTAAGCCCTAAACAAAGCTCAAGAGCTGAAACCCGATTTGTTGGGAACGCAGCCCTGCGGATAGCGGGGTGGGATGACTCTCCGCCCTATTGCGGAGGGTACACAGACAGAACTCACCCGCCCGGCCACAGCGCTCCAGAGCAAACGGGGGCGGAGCGGGCTGCGGAAGGGGAAGCGAAAGAGCAACGCACCGCCTAAAGCTTCCCTTTTCCGGCTGTTTTGAAACGAGTGGGGAGTAATCAGCAAACTTGAGCGGGGAAGGTGCCTGGGGTGGGGAGGAGAAAGCCTTGGCGCGTTCCCACCTACCTACGGATGACTCCCCCTGCCGGGGTATCGGGGATGCCCGAGCAAGCCCCAGTGCCTACAAAAAAAGAGGAGAGACCTCAGCGCAGACGAGGTTTTGTCTTATTTTTTATAATGAGGGGCAAAGCTCCCTCCTAACTGCATTCGTGTATACCCAGTCTGCGCTAGTCGTGTACCAGAATGTGGTATAGCTGAGAATTCGGGGTTGGGTTTTGGAATAGCATGAGCTACCACTGTGGGCCGCTGCTAGCTTTGATCAGTAATTTCAGTATAGCCCTTTCATGGAATATTTCTATAATATTCAAATTATAAGCACAGCTAGTGCCTTTTTTTTTTTTTTTTCCTTTTTTTTTTCTGGAAAAAACAGAGGTGTTTACAATGGTCTACAAACACTTTTCCACGTGCTGGAACTGCTTTCTTCAAGTAAATTGTTATGCATGACTTACTCCATTTGGCTATAGAATTACCTCCCATAACATTTAACCATATGGAAAGAAAGCACTCCTTCAGCCAAGCCCCAGAGCTGAGGGGCTTCAGCTCTTTGTAACAAAAGGCACAGAACATCAGAGGCCCGTGCTTTCTGCAAAATGCAGCAGTGACTCCCCCCCAGTTTATATGCTGGACACGATGTGCTGTGGTATGGAATATCCCTTTGGCTAGTTTGATTCAAGTGTCCTGTCTCTGCTTCCTCCTGGCTTCTTGTGCCCCTCATTAGCAGAGCATGAGAGACTGAAAAGTCCTTGATCAGGGGTAAGTGCTACTTAGCAACGACTAAAACATTGGTGTGTTACCAGCACTCTTATCGTACTAAAGCCAAAACATAGCACAGCACCAGCTAGGAAAAAGGAGAAAAACAACTGTTACAGCTAAACCCAGGACAGTTCTCTAGCTGCATTTCAGATTTTCTCATCTTTATGAATCAGCCTAATGGTCAAAAAGTGAGGAACAGTTTAATTCCCTTGTGGTTTAAATACAGATCCCCTATCTCCCTGAAAAATGCCCCAGCCAATACAGATCTAAGCTATCCTGGCTGGGGTTCCCCTTTCTGTTCAAACTGTGTAATGGCCCCGAGTTTCAAGTTTCACTAGGCTCTGCTTTGTAATCCAGCACCAGGGATCCCCAAGAGGGGAAGGAAGAAAACTGGAAGAAACCCACAGCTGCTGGGGCTGCTGAACTCACCTAGGGCCCAGATGAGATGCTGCTGTTCCTTGCAGCCATAGCTTTCCATCTTCTCTACCAATGTCATGCATGCTTATCTTTTCTGACATAGGAAGAGCTTTCTCACCACTGATATCTCTTGCTCTGCATTGCTGCCTCCCCTCTATTATTCTAAGCAGTTCCTGAAAACTACAAAGGAAAATGGACTGCAAATGAAGGTGTTTACAAAGAAATAACAACAAAATTGCAAAGTACTGGTTAGTAGCTGAGCATTCACTCAAGGTATAGGAAATAGTTTACCCTGTCTCCAGATTTGGCTCAGCCTTTTTCCCTTTTTTCCTGATTTTCTCTATTTTTTCTCTTGTTGCACAGGTAAGGAGGAACAGATTTTTACTAAAGTAAATCAGAATAAAGAATAATTCTAATTACTCATTGAAAACAGAAGAAATGACTACTCTGGTAGTGTGGAAAACATTAAAATGCCTTACTTTGAAAGAAATAAAGAGAACATTTAGTACAGCTATTTGACCTTGTTCTCTCCAGCTCGACTTTGTTTTTCCCACTGTATATTTGTAATAAGATAGTGACTGTAATAAGGGTAAAACCCTGTTCCCTTTGTTTAAGTGTAAAACAGACAGGTGACATTTTATCAGCATGGCAAACATTTCAAATGTCAGATATGTTTGGGTTTTTTTTAAGAGTGTAGCTCAGATCAAGGACTGGAAAAAATACTCTGAGAAAGGGGAAGAGAAGGTAAAACCCAACTGAGATAAACTGTTCCACCTAAAATAGGTACCATATTCTGAACAAAAGATTTCAATCATGTGAACCATGGGTACCAAGACTTTAAAAAATATTAAATGCATGAAGTATGGATGCTTTACTGCAAAACCCAAACAAAAACCCAAACATTTTGCTTATAAACTCTGGAAGTTCATGTCAAGAACTAGAAAATACAATTTTCTGTGAATGTATGAATGTATGTACAAATGAAATGTGATCGTAATAGTTTAACTAAATTTAAGAAGTTCCTTACTGTAGGAGAACAATGCATAACAAAGGCAGATCATATTTTGAGTCAAATGAACAGTAATTTTTTAAACACCAAAATGAAAACATTTGTGTTTTTAATATGCATTTAAGTGAGACAAAAATATAACTGAGACAGATGTAGCATTTCTTATCATTTTACCTGGATTTTCCAGAGCCAGTTAAAAAGTGTATGCTACTGTTAACAGGAATATATAAACATTAGATATTGCAAATTTATTTTTGCCTCATTCACTTAGGAAAAGTTGCGGTGTCTTTTTTGCTACTTCCCAGGATGATTAGGCAATTTATTAGGGTAAAAACATTCATTACTTTTAATCAACAGATCAGTTCAGAGGTATATGTATTGCCAGAGGTTTATATCCTTATAAAAACTTCAGCAACACCAGCATCTACTTTTAATCTGAGAAAGTAGCTGCCTTCATGCTGAGCTATTCCGTTTCTTTTTCTTCTTTTGCAGTGGAGCTTCCAATTTTTGCTTCTCTGGAGCAATTTTTCTTTTTCTTTTTGCTGTTTTACCACTTTTATCAGTCCAACAACCTTTGTTTTTCTGGACTATGGATGGTTTTTCATCTTCATTTGCTGAAAACAAAAAGGCAAGAAATTATTCAAACTGATACTTATGTCCAGTCTGTATAGTCTAAAATGGAACAGACATATTTGTATCTTATTTTATAAAAGGGGTTATAAATGAATTTTGTTTAGAGTGAAATGTGCAATTTATGCTAGCTTTGCCTGTGATATGAAAATATCTAGAGATCATGTAAATAGATTACAATACAGAAAAACAACAGCAAAAATCCAGACCTAGGTTAAAAAAAATAGGCCTCAGACCAATTTTTTTTTAATAGGAAAACAAGACATGCACTTCTATCAAACTATTTCTTCTTTTCTTACCATTCTCAAAAGCTTCACAGTAGCTTCCACAGTAAATTATTCCAGCAAAAAAAACCCCAAATTTCATACAATAAAAGTGAACAGAAGTTTATGTCCTCCATCATACATGCGATGGTATCAGATTGGTAAGGATATCTGTCACTTGCCAGTGTCTTATCCCCAGTTCTTCAAGATACCAAAACTTTTTCCAGTGCATACACTAAAACCGGCCCACTTAGTATATTCCATTTCACAGTCATATCAGCAATTGAAAAAACATGCAGTTCTCTTACCTTGAGACAATGTTGCAACCTTATCAGAGGTTTCTTTAATTTCTGAATCTTGGTCAAGCCAGACTGCAAGACACGTCAGCCTAGCTTTGCTATTGACTTCACACAGTAAAGATGGTACATCTTTAATCTGAATATAGAAAAAAAGATTAACTAAATATTATTTTTGTTTAAATTTACTGAAGTATTTAAAGTGAGAAAGTTTCTTACTGCCCACCTTCCACTTCCCTTCTGGTGCCTAACAATGTTTAGAACTGGAGACTGCATACCAGTTAGTGGTCACATTGTTATACTCTTATTCCCAATACCTTTGTCAGTGGTGGTTTTACAGACAAAAGTACCAATGGCTTTAAGAACATATTTCCATAAGCAAGATCAATGGTTTTCAGGCATATCGGGGTTAAGTTTAACATGAGGAATAACTATAAGGGTTAGAGACGTTCCCCCCCCCCAAAAAAAAAAAGTATAAAAGCAATTAATGGTTTCATAATTTTCTCCAGAGTAGTAGGGGTTTATTTTGTACAGCTAAAAAAATTTGAATTAAGTTACTGCATCAGATTCCTTTTCTCCCTTACACAGACAAGGCTGCTGATCAAAAGTAATCTCTTCAGTGTTTCAAATTGGTTAACTGCAGTTTTATCAGTCAGCTCTGCAAAATACTTGAACAAATATATCGGGATAAAGTATCACAAATGTGCAACGTAAGCATCAGCCTATCAGAAACTACTTGCATTAGGATATTCTACTTCACAGAGCTGAACAGAGCCCACACTTATATAAAGTTTTAAAAAATGTTGCTTGCTCAGGAAGAAAATAACACATTTGGGAAAAATAAGAACGGACAAATTCAGATAAGATATATAAAGTGTACAAATGCTGTGAGGTATTTATTTGAACTAGTCAAGATACTTACAGTGAAATATAGTAGATCCTTTATTACAAGGCAGTACATTAAAAAAAAATCTGTGACTTTAAAAGACAAGCCCAGAGCAAACAATAAACGTGGGAAATGTTAAAGATAAGACAGGATTCCTTATTGAGCTGTGCTACTCAGAACCTTTTGAAAATACAGGAAAGTACGCAGTACATTAACCTTATTTTTCCAAAAGGACAGCCTTTGCCTCCTCCATGAACAACCACACCCCTTCAACCCCCAGAGTTTAAAAGAGCAGCATCAGTCATCAACATTACAAACATTCACAGCAGTCCTCAGAACATAATGTAACTGATTAGATAGGCATTACATCTGGCCAGGCAGGTCTGAAGGGAAGCATGACTTAGAAAAACAGGAGATGAGATCTCTGTAATACCATTACATTTTATAGTTTGTTTAAAAAAAATTACAATACAGAAATATGCAAGTGCATAAAAATACGTGCATATACATACACATCTCTACTGAACATAACATGAAAGAAGATCAAAACATCCAGATTTCAAGCAAAATTTCCTCAGGGACTCAAAATTATAACAGAACTCTGCAATTTTGGTTGTCTGATATAATTCCATAAATGTAACAAGCAGTTAAATAGACCAACCTTATTAAGATCCAGATTCCACATTTTAATGTAACCATCACTGCATGCAGTAACAATAATGTGCTGTCCTTCTCTTTCAAAACTATAGATATCTTTTATTCTGTGAAGAAAATGTAGTACTTTGTTACTTTATAGCATGGCAGCTCAGTTCAGAACAGAAATCTGACAGAAATTAAAAAGATGGGTAGGCAACAGTTTAAAAATCAGTTTGAACAGAAACCCAGAGAAAAACAGGCAGAAACAGTAATATGTTTTGATGGCTCTCATTTACAGTGGGAATGCCTGTCTTTGATAGGCTCGTTAGGATTCAATTCAGAACACTAAAACTTTTAAGCACACACCATTAACGACATCAATATATTTTAGCTAATGCTTTTGTGTTTTGATAAACTAGAAGCAGCATTTGGACAAATACTGTGTTCAGTAACAACAGAGATATGTGATTACCCTCCTCTTGTCTGAAAGAAGTACAAGTGGTTTATTTTATTTAAGCATTAGTAAGACTGGTTAAACATCGTTTAGATGGGCTTGCAGGAAAATACTGGTACCTAGTTTCAGAAATGCAAAGACCACACACATAGAAGTGTGCAACTCATAAATTTAGAACTGTAGTATTTCTAATTCTATAGCTTATTGTTTTGCAACTTGCAAGGACAGCACAGTATTCCTGCTCATACTAAAAGCAGACAAGTCTGTCGCAAATTTAGCACATAAATAAACGTTCTACACTAAAACAATACCAAAAGTAAAATATGCTGAACATTGTAAGTCAGTGAACTTTACTGAGTACTCAGCATTGCTATAAATATTTAAATAGTAAACAAATACAGAATACCTGTTTTCATGAGCTTTGAATTCACACAGGCATTTTTGAGAGTCACAGCTGTAGAACCTTATAATTTCATCACCTCCAGCTATGGCAAGAACAGAATCCTTGGAATGGGGTGAAAAAAAAGCAATTAATTTCATGTGCTTCAAACCAGCTAATTTCCCATCACCTTTCTGTTTTCAACTTACTGTAATAAATCTAAGTGAAGAAATTCTCTTCTCTGTTGTGATAGTGCCAGTGATTGAAGCTGTGTCAAGTTTGTAGATATCCACTTTATTTGTTATCACAGTCACATACTTCTCTCCATCAGGGGACCATTTAATTATGTGGGCATCTGTACATATTGATACATCAGTATACACATGTACACAAGCTTTTTGCACTTAATATTGCATGAAAATCTAAAAGTAAGAATTTTTAGAACCTGCTAGACACTATTTTCTACCTAAGCCTGAGAAAAATTCAGGGAAAAAAAAATAACTAAAAAAAATTAAACAACTAAAACAATACTCTTCAATGTTTATTTCTGATTATCAGAAGTGTATTATGTAAGTGTCCTGACATAAAATTTCAAGCGGTAAAAACATTTACTTTAGTGTTACTGTGGTTTCCTTTCGGTAAATGATTATTATTAAGGACATAAGTCATATATGCTTGCCTGCTTGTGCAAAAAAGACATTGTGGAAGTTGCTTGCAATTAACTGTCTTGTTGTTTATTCCAGTTTACTTTTCTTTAAAAGAAAAAAAATAGATCTAATTCTACTTTTTTAGTGGATTTAGACTGATCAACTCACTTTGCTTCAGGTTTTTGATAAAGGCTGATCGTCCTTCTACAAGATTCCAAGTTCTGAAAGACAACAGTAAATAAAGTGCATTCTGGTTAAAACAGCACAATGAAACTGAACTGCTGTCTGATGACATGAGGCATTCAAAGGAAGCTTTTAAGCATCTCTGTGCCTTCTTAATGCAAGAGAAAGTGATGACTTCACATACCACTTGCAGACTATAAGGTTGAATTTGTAATATTTATTTTAGAACCCACCATTAACAGTGCAGTGCAGAAAGGAGCCCAATACCAATTTGTGCTGTTAAAATAGCATTTTATATATTTAAAACCCATATATAAAGCAACATATAAACACTCCAAGTGAAAAATTACTTTTCTTACACTAAGCAAAACCTGAGAGCTTTCAGAATAAACAAGTGTTCCAAAATGCACATATAATTATACATCTAAAAGTGACTATAAAGAGTCAGAGCACAGGAAGAAGCTAGGAAAAGCAAAGACTGTTTTTAAAAGACTTAAAAATATTGCTGGTACCTAGAACATAAGAAGACAAAACAATGAATCTCTGAACCATATATTGTGCAAATACGGTTTATCAGTGTTGCAAAGTCTAGTCCCAAAATGGAATTGTTGCTTATAACAATTTACTAAGAGTTACTGTATTATGACTCTCAGCATTCCTTCATCAGTTTCAACTCACCTTAATGTTTTATCTGTTCCTACTGACAAACATAATTTCCCAGAAGGATGGATAGAAAGAGATGTCACATGCCCCCTGATAAAACCAAAACAACGTGTTAGCCACATATACTCTTTACAAGGAAAATAAACATCAAAATTTATGTGAATAAGCAGAATTAGGAAACTCACTTATGTGCCTTAATAGATTTCAGGCACTCCCATCTCTTTGTGTTCCAGATACAAATTACCCCATCTTCAGCCCCACTCAGTAGATGTGCAGTACCATAGAACTCCAGACAAGTTACTGTGCCTAAAAATGAAAGCCAGTACTATTAACAATGTTGTACATACTGAACAGTTACCACACAGAGAACGTATGAATTAACAGACAAGCTTATAGCATCAAAACATGCCAGCTATTACCCCACCCTTAGGAAAATCTGCATTATTTCTTAAGTATTTCTTCACAACCCCCCCAAGCTTTCCTGTTATATTGAACCACTGATGTGGTTCAATATATCTATCAGCTGCCTGATAGCCAATACACATCTGAACTCTATCTGGTCCATTCTCTGAAACAGCAGCAATCAACCACTGTGGCACAGAGCTTCTATCAGTGATAAATGCTCCTAAAAAGCCCTGCTTTTGGCACACAGCTGAATTTGTTGCACATGCTGCTTCCCATAAGTACCAGATTTATCATAAGCACCAGATTTATCATATGTGAGTTGAACACAGGTAGCATGTTCAGTCTAGCTCTAAGTACTTTGGCTATCAGGAGAAAAAGGACAATCAAGATTGAGCTACAAATGACGAAAACATTAGTGTTTTGTTTGGGTTTTTCTTGTTTGTTTGTTTGTTGTTTGTTTTGGTTTGGGTTTGTTTGTTTTGGTTTTTTTTTTAATTATTGAAAGCAGCCTTGTGGAGAAGGACCTAGGGGTGTTGGTCGATGAGAAGCTCGACATGAGCCAGCTTCAGTGTGCACTCACAGCCCAGAAAGCCAGCTATATCCTGGGCTGCACCAAAACCAGTGTCATCAGCAGGTTGAGGAAAGTGATTCGCCCTCTCTCCTCTGCTCTTGTGAGACCCCACTGCAGTACTGCATCCATCTCTGAGGCCCCAACATAAGAGGGATGAGGACCTATTGAAGTGAGTCCTGAAGAGGGCCATGAAGATGATCAGAGGGTTGGAGCACCTCTGCTATTAAGACAGGCTGAGACAGTTGGGCTTGTTCAGCCTGGAGATGAAAAGGCTCCCGGCAGATCTTTTAGCAGCCTTCCAGTGTCTAAAGGGGGCCTAAAAGATATCTGGAGAGGGACATTTTTTAAGGGCATGTAGTGACAGGACAAGGAAGAATGACTTTACACTGATAAAGGGAAGATTTAGATTAGATATTAGGGTGAAGTTCTTTACTATGAGGGTGGTGAGACACTGGAACATGTTGCCCAGAGAAACTGTGGCTGCTCCACTCCTGGAAGTGTTCAAGGCCAGGTTGGATGAGCAGAAGGTTGGAACTGGATGATCTTTAAGGTCCTTTTCAATCAAAACCGTTTTCTGTGATTCTATGATTCAGATGGCCATTAACTGACTACACAGCTGTAATTCAGGAGACACAAAGTGGGAAATGTAGCAGGTTAACTCTTGCTGGCAGCAGCATCATCTTCTCACACACAAGCTCTCTTTTGTATGGCTCACGTCACACATCTGTGACAGGACAAAGACACTGGGAAAGATGGTTCTTGGGAGTAGGCATGGTCTAGATAGTGTCCTGGTAGACCAAAAATGGCTTATGAGGCATTTGTGGGCCATAACTTCATAAACAGTTAAACCTAAAAATAATTGGAAGCAGCTGTATTTGTGGAATAATACCCAAAATAATTTTTGGATTTTTATGCTCAAAAGCTTCCCTTGGTTGTATTGTCAGACTTTGATGGCTGCAACACCATCACTATTAAAGACTTATTAAAAAAAAAATATCCACTTTCCTTCCTCTGACAAGGGCCAGTTTTTCCACTGTAAGTTTCTAACATCAATGCTTTTTATGAAGAAAAGCTCCCTTACCATTGTGCTGCAGCAGCGCCCCATGTTCTACCTTCTTTTTCATGTCATAGATTTGGATTGTCTCATCTTTGCTCCCAGTGACCACATATCTGTTATTCACAGCTACCGCTGACAACGAGGCAGTGTGTGCATGATGTGTAAAATCAGGGGCAACCGTCCAGGACTGTAAATGAAAGACAAAATAAACATGTCTCTCTGAAGCTTAACTTCGACTTCATCATCCCGTACTTTCGTTTTCTTTCAAGCGAAACATTAAAAAAATTTATGTGTAAAAGGCAAAGAAATTACACTTAGCTGTAAGTATAATGGCATCTGACTGAATTAATGTGCTCTTAGGAGATTAGTCTGAACAATTAAGAGTGCAAACCGCCTCCTGTAATGAGCGTTGGGCTTAGATGAAGCTGCATGTGAAAAAGGATCTCCACAGAGATAAATCTCTTGGACAAGGGAGGCGGATTTTCCCTATTTTCCACCATTGCAGGCTGGAGACACGCCTTCCACCTGACACCAGCCACGCGAGGCACTGTGGCATCCATCCTCTGCATTGCTGTTTATTGCCAGCTCCGCGCTGAACGGCTGCGAAGAACGAGCTCACCCCGCAGCCCCCTGCGACCACGCGGCCAGTCGCTTCCCGGAGCTCCCCCGGCAGCCCTGTCCGCTTTCGGGCTCGAGCAGCAGAGTGTGCGTGGGCCGCTCCCACACCGGCGCCAGCAGCGAGGGGCCGAGCCTGCGGCTGCCAGAGCCTGCCCCGCCCCCAAGGCGCTTTAAAAGCGCGGCCTGCGCCCGGCCCCACGGCCGCGCAGCAACGGATGGGTAAGTACTTGGGCCCGTTCTTTCCCCTGCTCTCCCCCTCATCCCTCAGAGTGGGTTGGCGGGCAGCCGTTAAGGTGCATCCGCTTCCCTCCCGTTCCCGCCGCTTCCCCCACGTTACCTCGGTGGGTCGCACAGTGAACCCGAAGAGAACCTGCTCGTAGCAGCCCGCTACCAGCTCCATTACACCCCAAAGCGCGGCACTAGCTCGGGGCCCTGCCGCCCTCAGCCGCGGTCCGTCCTCCGCGCTGCCTGCGCCCGCGCCGGTTCTGGGCCCGTGACTAGAGGCCGGCAGTGCTCCGTCGGGGAACGTTCTGCTGTCTCCGACAGCCGTCGCGGAGGAGGAAGTGGTCTGGGGTGGCGGCCGCGTGAGCTCCGTGGGTCAGGCTCCTCTCAGGGCAGCCCAAACGGGAGGTCCTCACGGGGCGGAAGCGGGGTTCGGCCGCTGCTGATGGCGGCGCGGAGGATGAGAGGCGTTAGTGCTGGGATCGGCTGGTGGGGGAGATGGCGTGTGAAGGGGCACATCGCGGTGACCGAGGCCGGGCTGTGGGGGCAGCTGGCGGGAAAGGGAGCGCGAACCGATCCACTGCGCGAAGGGAGGAGGGAGCGGCATCCTTCCTCCCCCGGGGCCTCAGCCTTCGCCTCACGGGCGGCTGGGCCGCGGGCGGGGCGGGGAAGCCTGGCTAGGCCCGGCGGCTGTTGGGCCTAAGCGACCCCGCGGCCGGTGGCAGCGTAAGGAGCGCCGTGGCCTTCCCGTGAGGGCCCTGCGGGGTTTTCCTTATTTAGTGTTTTTTTTTCTTCCGCTTCGTGTCTTATCGCGTAGCACAATAAGGGGGAAGCGCGGCTGCTGCGGAGGGCCGCGGCCGGGCGGGGCGCACTTCTTGTCGGGCGTCGTGGCTCGTCCCTTCCCGTCGTGCCGAGTGGCTGATAAAAATGCGTCACGGCAAGATGCGGCCCTGGCCTGGGCTCGGCGGGTCCCCGCTGCCCTACCCGGCTCCGCCTTCAGTGTGAGCGAAATTAACGGCGAGGGGGGCGGCTCGGCCTCCACTTAGCGGTGCGAGCACAGGCGATTTTATTTGCGAATGGTTTCATCTGCCTTTTTGGCAGTGCAAACGGAATACATACAAACGTGGAATAAAATGGTCTGGTGAAATGCGTGTGTAGTCCAGTTAAAGAGGTAGTTGAATTCTGGAGGTTAAAGCTGCCCTACTACTTAGATGAAAACTAGCTGTGATTGTAGCTACAGTTAAGGCAAATGGAAAAAAAACAAAACACAAAAACCTAAGTTAATGCATGCTATTTTAACGACTTTTTAAATATTTTTGCATTTTAGTGAAAAGATCAAGAGGCAACCTTCAAGATCTGACAGGGAAAGAGCACAAAACTGCAATTTTGCATCAAAGTCCTCAGTAACTGATTGAGAAACAGTTGCATCACTCACCTTGCAACAGCTTTTTGCAATAAAAGGGCTTTGTCGTGTGTGCCATCTTCTGCTAAATCCACACAAGTAAAAAGTGGTAAGTTAAAAATATTATAAGGTTGTGAATTCAGACATTAATATTTCAGTGTTTAGAGCATGGAGGGGTTTATGGTTCCTTTTATCAAAAAGTCATGCTTGACTTAGAGAAACATCACTATGTGGATGTTTTTTAAAAAGTAATGCTTCACTTACAGAAACATCACTATGGATGTTCTTATTAATAATGACCTTTGACAGGATGATGTTGCAGATGTTCAGGTAATGAGCACAGTTAGGCTTAGTAAGAGGGCATATACAAACTTCACTAGTATATGCTTGTATTTAAGGGCTTGTTTCTATTTGACTGCTTTCTTGGGCTCAGAAAGAGTGCAGGGATGAAGTAATGACATGCATGGTTGCTCTAATTATGACATTGCTATCCTGTGTCAGGTCAGTTTAATCCATTTTCAGAGGTAATGGAGGTAAAAAATGAGAAATTGTGAATGAGCAGCTGTATATGAAAGTAGATGCAAAATATTTTGCAAATGAAACATTTCTATATCAATTGATATGGGCTGGATGACTAGGGTAAAAGGCTTAGAGGCCATAGGAATCAACTAAGAGGTATGTATGTCTTCAGGAAAGTGTATTTACTGGTTTAGTGATAGCAGTAAAAGGTCATTGGTTATTGCCAACTCACTGGTAGTGAGTGAAATGGAAGAGGAAAAAGAGAAGATGTACCTGAGAAAATGTGCAGAGAAAGATCATGTTTACCTGTACCCTTTTGGTTTATTTATTTTGTTCTTTAGCATATAGAAGATACCACTGCTTGTTTTTAGCTGTGTAATTTGTGGTAAATCAACTTTTAATTTAGCTAAAAGGAAAGAAAAATCACCCGAAGGGCTGTACAAAATGTATTGAAGCCTCTATCTGTGATGTCTTGTTTTTAAACTATTTTAGAATGTGGACTTTGTGTTACTGTGTTATATGTAGGTATTTCAGAAGTAAGGTTAAGGTGTAGGTGACTTAAAAGCTCTCTAATTTTTTAGTGCATTTGATAGGGGGAAAACTTTGTAGACTATTGAATTTTAAGAAAACGATGACTTCTAATCATAATCCTATTCGTCATGTACTGTCTTTATTGCTGTTGCTTTAGCAGTGAAAAGTTAGAACTTGGAAATCAAAGTTCTGAATTAATAACATTAAAAATGTAAGGCAAGGTGAACATCTTTGTAAGTAATTTGTCCGAAGGCTCAGATTCTTCATCTACCTCTTCCTCTCCCACATATTTTTCAGCTGAAGAAGCTGAAACTGAACCTGTGCCACCGTAGTCTTCAGGAAGGGCGGAAGACAGTTTGAGCCATGGCAAGCCAGGTAAGATCATTTGGTCAGAAATTTAGGCTTGCAGTGCCTAAATGGATTCCAGAACCATACTCAGAATTTCTAGTAACTGTAAAGCTGAAATAGCTAGCTTGCTCTGAGTTGGGCATTCTTTTAGTCCTATGATTGCTTCTGGCAATGTAAGTGGTGGCTGTCCTCGGAACACCTAATTGCATCAACTGAAGCAGGTTGGGGGCATAACATTAAGTTTTCCAGTTTGGATTACTTGAGCATGAGTTCTTCTGAAGGACTTTGTGCATAACACTCTCTATATAAGATACCCATAGAGGTGTTCTAGCGGAAGAACGTTAAAGCGTGCGTAAGTAAAAAATGTTGCAAAAAACCATTCTTATTTTTTGAAGTCTTTGTTCTTCAGAACCTTAAGCGAGGGAGGCAGCCTTTGTTAATATGGCTGTTGTCTCCCTTGTCTTTTCTGTAGTTGCCCCACTTCCTTTTTAAACTGTGTTTCTTTGGGTTTTGGTTTTTCTTTCTTCTTCTTTTTTTTTTTTTTTTTTTTTTTTGCAAGAGGTGCTTTTTTATGCCTCTTCCTGGCCTTGCGTCTGGGTTTGAGTTTTCCCTCAGCCAAGCTAGTGCCTGTTCCAGGTCTGCTTTCTCCTTGCATTCCATTAATCGGCCTCCTGTTGTTCCTGGCCTGGGAGAGTTGAGTCAGAGCTGGGTAGTGAGGAAAGTCATCTCACATAAAAGAATCCCTAGGTGAAGGGAGACAGGGACAGCTGAGATCCCTTCTAGGCAAGAGTGATGATTTCCCTGCCTCTTCATCACTCAGACTGCTGCTGCTGCTGCAGGGTTTTTTGGAGTCCTGGAGCTCGAGTGGAACACAGTCCAGTCCTGAAGCTAATTAACATTTAGGATTGGCCAACATCGGAGTGCTGTCTGCTTTTTCCCTAATTCCAAGAGGAAGCGGTCGATCCTATAGCCAGCTTGACAAGTCAGGGGAATATGGCTGTTCATACAATCCTTTGGCTCTGTTATTTTTGCCAGGCGTTTTCCCCAGAGGCTGCTTTCCCTCATGGGAGGCGGAGGGAGAAATGGGACCCCAGGCTTCTTTCAAGGGCAAGGTGAATATGGGGAAATCACCTGTGGTGATGGGGAGTGGGAGGGAGGAATGTAAATGAGGCTAAATACTATAAAGGTGATTTTTTTTTTTCTCCCAACAGGAATTGCTGGCGAAAAAGAGAGAATGTCTTCAGGCCTACAGCTGGTGGAGAACGCCACAGAAGAAACGGAAGAAAAAGAACAAAATAAAGCCAGGAAGAATAGAGTTTGTCCCTAGTAGTACTGCAGCCAGGTAAAGAACTTCAGAAAGAAGCTCTGACCCTTTATCTGCTGAAATTAATAGTAACCAGTGAATACCATAGCTTATTTTTAAAATCCTGAAATGGTACAGCTGGTGCCTATACATTTAAGTATTGCTAATGGAAATGCATCACCAGTAGAATAAGGAAGCTATCTTCTTTGCTTCTGCCATAATTGCTAAGAAGTGGTGGCAAAATAGTTACAGTTTTTTTGAATCATGGCTGTAACTTGAGTTAATTTTTTTTATGCTTTTGTGTTTTCCTCTCCTTCAGACAATAAATGCCCTTTGAAATGCTTTTTCCTATTTTTATTGTGAAAGTGGCAGAATGGACTCAGATAAATTGAGAACTCGGTGTGAGAGTGGTGGCATTGCAGTTCTGTACATTACTTGCAGCTTTGCAGTCAGTACTGCTCTTGGAGTTTATTTCCTTACTTGTGCAGTGATAACTACCTGCCTGTATGTTAGGTACCTTAATACTGCAATCAGCTACCTTAGTCTCAAGCTTGAAAATTGTTCTCTCATCTTTTTAAAGACCAGATTATTCAATATTTGTTGGGGAGCTTACTCCAGAAGTGGATGATTTCCAGCTCTATGACTATTTCCTAAAGAGATACCCCTCATGTATTGACTGCAAAATAGCAACAGATCTGCTGGGATACTCCAGGTAATGCCTGTGAAAATTCATAATGCTGTCAATGTTTGCTTCTATAAGTAACATACAGGAACTTGCACTGGAACCATTTCTATGTTTCCTTCAGATGCGGGAAGAGAGATTAGTCTCTAGGATTATATTTTTTGTCTTTTAGTGGCATAACTACTCACATTTTTCTAAAACTTTCTGGTGTAAGCAGTTAACATAATCTTCTGTTTAGCCATATATGTGTATCTGCATGAAAGCAGTTAGATGGTGGGAGAAGGGAGAGCTGTCACCAAAACATGTGCTGCTGTGCTTACATACAGTAGTGCATTCATGTGGTCTTTTGCAGTACTGAAGACAGCAATTCCCTTTTTACATGTGGGAGAAAAGTGTAAGGCCTGGCTAATCTCAGGGTTGGGAGACTGAAACTGTATTAACAGGTAGTAAATAAAGCTTAGCAGAAGTTATACTCGCCAGGCAATGAGTCAAGCAGGGATGAGCGAGTTTACTGTTCAATGCTGGCTGTAATAGACTAATTCAAGAAGCTTCAGAGAAAGGAAGTTTAAAAAGAATGATAGTATAGTAGTAGGAGGGGGTTAATAATTAACTGCTGTAGATGCAGAAACATGGAATCTGATTACTTACACAGGTAGCAGTTAAACTGTATAGTTTCACTGGCTCTCAGCAAGTTGCACTGTAATGCTATCAAAGAACAAGCTTTTGGCCCAAGATTTAATTTTGTGAAAGCATCTTCTGTGTAAGTGCACATGCCAGAGAGGTTGCTTAGCTAATAAAAGCTATAGTAGCTGCTGTCTTCTGGGTTTTTTCTTTTTTTGTAGAAAACAAATTGAATTCATTAGCTTTGTAACTGTTATGCATACTAGAATTTGTTTTCTCCCTTTTGAAAATTGTAGAGGGTATGCCTTTGTCAGATTTGGTGAGCAAGGTGATCAGATGAGGGCACTGCAAGACTGCCAGAATGCACCAGGTCTGGGGGGAAAACGAATCCGGCTGAGCATAGGAATTTCTAAAAGGTAACAAATGAGTTGTGCATTGATACAATAATTCTAAATAATCAGATTCTTGTAGCTCTGCCTTCTTAAAGTCTGTGGCTCCTATATAATGGCTGTACACACAATGCAGTCTACAAAATAAAAAATGCAGAAGCACTATGTTTTGACTCAATGTATTCATCAACCTCTTTCAGGATTGTTGGGGGAATCTAACTCTTGAGTCTAGCCAGATCATGTAACTTGGGCTTAGCTGCTGTTGTAACCAGCCTTAATTCTTATAAGAGCAAAGCTGAATGCATTCATAGATACTTTCCAGGATTGGGCCTGAAGCAGGTAGAAGGAAGAAGTGTTTTTGCATGCTGGGGAGTGTTTCTTCTAGACCTTTCTCTCTAGTTTAGGCAGTGTAGCACATAACTGTTTTTACAGTTGGCTGGCAGAGAAGGGAGCTTTTAAGTGGAAAAATACAGAATATAGTAGGGAAGAAGCTAAAGGAGATGTTGCTGAAGCAGTTTTAGAATATTATGCTTTTCAAGTGATTGGGGCAGCAGGTAATTTAGAATGACTTGATTTTGAGAGGGTTTATTACTCTGCCTGCTCTCTTCTCTCTGTCGGTTATTTAAGGCAATTCAAGTCTATGAACAGAGAGTTGATACCAGATTTGATAAACTTTGATACTCTGGATAATTCTGTAAATGTCGCCTCTGCTTTAGAATGGAAACGCTTTTATGCAAGAGAGCACTGTCCAGAATAGCATTGACTAAATTATTTGCAAACAAGAAGAGGTCACAGAGAAACGTGTTTCCTTGTTTCTGCTGTCCAGAAGAATGTTGGCAGTACTTCCAGATTTTTCTTTCATACAGAGATGCATATAGGAGAGAAGTTAGTAGCAGAAGACTTTGAGACATTATGTAGTTGTTTGTTTACTACAGTAGTAAGACAATAGGATACCTGATTGAGAACATGTGTAGCTTCACAGTCATGAAACTAACGTAGGTATCAAAATACACATCGGTAATCTGTATCTGTTACTGAATGGCTGAGTACTATGCTTTCTCAGAATCAAAATATCCAGCCGTCAAGAGTAGTTTGTCGCTAAGACGCTTATATTGGAAACTCTTCTTTCTGAGCTCCTTCAGTTTGCATTCTTGACAGAAAGCCTGATTCTGAGTTTTCTGTAATGAGGTGAAGATGCACAGAAAGTGGACTCTGCCAACACAGGAGGCCTGCCTGAACGAAGCCAGTGAAGCAATGTCTTAAACATAGAGAATTATTTTTGAATGTGCAGCTGGACTTCGTGAATGTATTTTCATGTAGCGGGCCTCTGGTTTTGTACCTCTATTACAGACCCCACTTGTGCATTGATTCTATTGTGAAGTTGTCCTGGGAAAATGCATTCAGGTGAAAGAAAGTAGTGAAAACTAATCAGCTGGCCCTATGGTATTAACCAAACAAAAGACAGAAGGGCTAACTAAGAATGAACACATTTTTAAAGTAGCTGTGCTTGACCAATGTCTCTGCTCTTAATAAACTTGATTTCTATCAGTAGCTTGCTTGTACATCATGGTGTGTGTTAATCCGTGAAAATGATTACTTTTGGTATTGCAGATTATTTTGGTATTGAGAATTTGCTCTGTATAAACTTGAGATCTTGGGCTGTGATTTAGACTGTTGTTCTTGGGCAACTATTCAGAAAAGCTTCCTTTTAAACTTTGAAGTCTGTAAGTTAGTAAATTGTTTAACCTCAGAACTGGGTTTGAAGTTTATTGTTCTCAAATTCTAACTCTGTGTAACTTCTCCTGTTGCAGACTGAAAGCAGAATTCCAGCGGTACCAATCATACAACTACAATGATTATTACCAAGATTATCAGAACTACTACTCACAGTGGAATTACGATCCTTATGCTGACTACAACTACAGCTCCTATACTCCCTATGATAACATGCAAGCTGTTGGAGACTGCTCTTTAGGAGATACTCTTATGGCTCCAGCTGTTTTTGAGGTAAAGATACTACGCATTTGCTTTAAAGAAAAAAAGTTCACAAATTGGAAGTTGTGTGAATTGTGTGAGAGCAAAAAGTCCTAAAACTGAAATCGTGCTTTCTGCTTAGTGTGGGTGTTAAAATAACAGGTGTCATTGAGAAGTACCTCTTTAAGTGTTTAAGTACTGCATCTGTAGAATTAGAGATTAATACACCATTATTCATGTATGCCGAATAACACTTCTGATGGCATACTTGTGTAGGCTTCCTCTCTTGCTGTTTTTCTGATGTACTTTGCTTAATGCAAATTGAAGAATTATTTTAGGATGGTCTTACCTTAGATCAGCTAATTTCTCAAGTGAAACTTCCAGAAGTCCTTTCCAACCTGAACTATACTGCTACCATAAAAGTTGGTTGGTGAAATTTTGAGACTGATTTGGGAGTACAAAGTTACTTTGTATTCATGACGCTTTCCAAAATGGATTATGATTATAATTCAATTTAAGAGTTTTTTTTTTTTTCTCCTTAGGAAACTTCAGCTATGACTGAAATCAGTGATGACCTAATAACTGAAGGTAATTGAGTTTAGCCATACTTGCACCCTTTAACACTATAAGCCAATGAGTACTGCATGATGAATGCTTTGAAAATTCAGCTGATACAGTGGCATCCTCTATGTGTTAAAGTTGAGGTTAGGATTTTAAAGCTGATAGTGGTAGACCAGATCAAGTGGAATGGGACATTGTCAACAACACAGTAGGTTTCTTTCTATCTTTGCCTTCGTTCTTCTTCTGACATGGTCTGATACCGAATTTGTGATGTCTGTGTATTGATTTTGCTAAGCATATTCTGCATTAAACTCATGAATATGCAAAAGCTTTGGAGAACCCTGAGGTAAAAGCTTACATTGCAGGTCCTAAAAGGAAGATTCAGCTTGTGCCTAAAGATTTGGTACAAAACTTAATTGTTTGGCCTGGAAGGTTTTCAGGCAATTCCTTGCATAGAGACATTCTTGTCAGTGTTCAGAAACTGTCCTCTCTAACGTACATTATAGTAGAAATAAAATTAATTTGGGGAAATTTCCCTAGTTAATTACCCTTAAATCTATTCTTTATCTTGGAATGCCAGTGTAGTTCTAGCATTCTAACACAAATTCCAGAAGAAGCTGGACTTGTCAGATTTGGTAAAATTCTAGGTGAAAAAACACCTTTCTACCTTTACTATTAAATCTATCACATTTAACCAAAACACATATTATTAGTAATTTACTTCTTTTGTGTATGTGTGCATCCCTCCCACTTATCAGACTTTTATTTTCAGATCCACAACTTTACTTGGATGTTGATGAAATGAACAGACAATTTATGGAGACAAGTGAAGAACTCTATGATTCCCTCATGAATTGTCACTGGCAGCCTCTGGATACGGTCACTTCTGACATCCCCTCTGCTATTTAAGTGTCTTATATAGCATGACCGTAACGACCAAGGTGCTAAAATTACATTTCTTCTACATTACTCTAGATCATAAGTTTTAAAGCACAATGATAGGTTGGGTTTTTTTGCTATGCTTTTGACAGTTTCTGTAATTTTTTTTTTTTTTTTTGTTCAGCACTCAGAGCATCCTGAAATCATGTAAATATTCTAGAAATGTAAAGAGTTCAGTGGGGTCTAAAGACAGACTTGCCTGTGTAAATAAAATTTTTTTTCTGCAAACCTGCCAGCAAGGGATTTTACTTACATATGTGAAGCACATTCTCTTCTGGCTTGTGGAATTTACCCCTACTGCTTGTCGCAGTAGGGGTATTCCACCTGCCATTGCATGGACATCAGGAGTAGGGAAAACTAGTTCTCACATACTTCCAAGTTACCTAGGCAATCTCTTACAAGCTTTTAACACATTCGATTTAGATGGCATGTGTATAAGGGAGATGCTCCCAGAGTTTGCCATGGGAATGCTTGGGCTGCTCCTGCAGTCTGCTGGCACTCACTGTACTACTGTTGATCTTTTAGGTCAGTTAAAATTGCTTTGTCAATACATGATTTTAAACATAGATAAAGGCAAACTTCCAGCTGCCATAGCTGCAAACATTCCAAAGACTAAAGATGATCCCTACTGACAGTTTTATTCTGCCCTTCCTCCTGTTAATCTTCTCAACTGTCACTTCACAGCAAAGAAACTGGTGTAACATAATACATGCTCTTAAACCTAAAAATCCTCTTAAGAAAATAATTTTTTTAAAGGAAGAAAATTAACCATTGGAAATAAAACTATCCTAGTAAAACTTGTCACTTAAGTTGCTAAACATCTAATTTTTGTTTTCAGTTTTTGTGCTCAGGTGTTTGATAGTGATGAGGTTATAAAATTTTTGTAGTATGAAGAGTTCTCAGTATTTGAGTCAAAGGAGACTCGGGGAGATAGCAGTGAGGAAAGTTCTGCTTTAAGCTAGCAACTTCTGAGTAGCTTCTTCTAAACTCTTCTTATAAGGAAGGGTATAAAGTATTTTCCAGTCATAAGGACTTCTTAAACCCATGTGTTTGCAAAAGTATTTACTCTGCTTAATGTACATGATAAAATAAATTGGGCTGGAAACAGAATAATACTCTTCTAAGAAAACAGGTATCAGAAGTTATCAGAACTAATAGCTGTGGAAGCTACTAAAGCTAGTGAAGACATTTGCCATGTGTGTCTTTGGGGCAGCCTAAACCATAATTACTGTGACGGCAGATTAAGTTCTCTGGCTTTTTTTAATGACTTAACTACATTAAAATTGTGTTGATAATCTATGTGCTGTTCTTAAATTTGAAATGTTATATTTCAGAGTGAAGACGTGGTGTTGACAGATCATTTCTAGCTGATAACCAGATTCTATTTACAGCTTAATTTTCAAGTAGGAATATTTTTCAAAATTCCTCCCATGAAAAGCAGATGTTCTAAAACAGAAAAGGCTTTTGGAGTACTATAGGAAGTTCGGTCTCCTGGATTTTTTTGTAGATATACATGTAGGAAGAGACAGCAAAAAGTGTCACATAGGCAGGAGGAGTAGCGTCACAGTTACAGGAACTGTGTTCCCTACGGAAATCTAGTTGCAGGGTAACTGCAACTGCTTGGAGTTCAGATTTCTTGGATAAACGTTTCCCTTGTGTGAAGTGGTAAGGCTTTGGAGGGTGATGGTAGAGAGACAATTAATGAGAATGTGTCAGGAGGTGGAGTAAATAAAGAGAATCTGGGTAGGAAAGGGGGGTGCTTGTGTGCCTGCACAGAATTGTTTCAGAGGACTGCAGTAGGGAGGAAACTCAAGTTAGTAGGTGCAGACCTCTTGAATTTGGATGAGAGTATTAAAGCTTCAAAACTATACAGGATTTGGTGCCACTTCAGTTGTGGTGTGTAGCTGTGTTGCTTGAGCTGGGTAATACGAAAAGGTTTATTAAGGGATTTTGTACCAATGAAGCACCATCACTACAAGCAGCATGACAGCTTGCAGGTCTGTGCTGTATTGTATCATGCTTTAGAAGTGGCTTGCATAACATCACCTAACATTGTACTGAAGTTGCAGCAAGTAACTTGTTAAAAGCTTTTCTTGTATTACCAGTTAAAAATGAGATGCTAAAGATATGTATTGGCTCAGCAGAACTCCTATGGAGCATCTATGCTAATTTTTTGTATTTGGGAGGTTGACTGTAATAAGGAGCCCATGTAGCTATGGGATTTCACTTAAGTCTGACACTGTACTACCACAGTATGTAAACCTCAAACAAAATCGCAGTCTAGCCACCCCATTTATGCGTATTTTACCTGTTAACAAGGTCTCTGGACTGTTTCACACATGCATGTGCCTTCTGTAAGTACCCATATAGTGAAAATTCTGTGAAGGTAATGCAGTGGAAGAGGTGGTTTGGGCTGCTGTTTCACCCAACCTGAGAAATGTTGGGGCTGTATTTTCATTCAGTCAACATATGAGAAAAATGAGGCAAGGAAGAGTCTGTTGAGAGGGAGCCCATGTGGTACTGTTCTAAAATAGTTCTCTGACCTCTTTTTCTGTCTCCTGAGCCTTGCTAGCTTATTCCTACTTCCAGTTAGAAGTGCGTATGTGGGATCAAGATCATGTGTGCAGCATTTACTCTTTACAGGAAAGGCATTGTAGAATTTCTTCCCTGTATTATTGGTGTGGTGTTACCCATGAACCCCAAATACAGGAAACAGTGCATCACAACTATGAGAATATGTTGCTGAGGCTTTCTACTGAGTAAACTTACAGCTGTTCCACAACTGCCCATCTGCATTAGCTAGCTTAAGAAACACCTGAACACATGCTCATGCCTGCCATCAGTTCTACAAAGATCTGATTGCAATGGGAGCATTTAAAAACAGAACACAAAGTCTTAGTAACTTTTTCAACACCAGTCTATTTCATTTCTAGTTGTGTTTTGTCTCTTATTTTACCCAGCTGAAATGTGTGGTTGGTGGTTTGTTTTTGTTTTTTTTAAGGTTGATTGTTTTTTTTTCCCAAAGAATATCTGATACTGGTTTTATAAACTCTTCATTGCACCTAGCTGTGATAGTGCCTTTACTCAAAACCTGCTCATTTCTTTGAGTTGTGTTTTTGTTGTCTATCACTTCTCTGCACAAAGAGGTTTTTAGTAGGATGGATTGAGGGGCTACTAAACCTATAGTCAGTGAGCAGGGAGAAGGAAACAGGCCCAAAAGGGCGAGGAGTACTTAGAAAGGGTACAAAACAGTTAAATGGTACTTAAGCCATGAATGTTTCTTTTTGCAGGGATGCTCTTGGACCAACAGCTTCTTTCTAGCGCTACCTCAAAGTAACTTGCAGATATAACTCACAGGGAAGATTGATCAAATGGTGATGATCCCTATCATTCTGCTGGAGATTATATATATTTGCCTTTTGTTTCATCTTACTTCTAATAACATATTTAAGTTCAGTGACTCATGTCAATAGACATTGTTGGACTACATCAACAAGTATTTCTGAGTCATGAGTGTCATTAAAGGCATGTCACTGTATGGAAATTGTTCTAAATAAGTAAAATGGAAGTAAAATTAAGTAAATAAAGCAGCACTTGAATTTACAGAGCAAACATAATGTAGCTGCCTTTGACACCTCCATGGAAGAGAAAATCATGTGTACAGGTTGCTCAATACATTTGGTGTGCATCGGAAAGGGTGAGTCTTGTCTTCAGTTTGCCCAGCCCTTAACATGTCCAGTGCAGATGCAGTTTTAGTCAGTTCCCCACACAGGTATCATCTTAAGTGTTAGTGTTGCTGCTGATGAACATCTGTTACCAAAAGGCACAGTTTGTCCCTTGGTAAATCTTGGGCTTCCTTGTCCTCAGTTGGAATTTAGCAGGATAATTGCTTCCTGGACAGAAGAGAGTTACAATTCCAGGCTAAAATGCTAGGTTCTTTTGTATTTTGGTGATTGACACAGAATTTTTTTTTTAATAGCATATTGTAAAAATGGACCCTTGTCCTAAAATTGGGCTGCAGGTGTTGCACACCAGCAGTTTACATGAAGTGCAGTTCTTGCAGGTGACTTCTATATCTGTAAGTTCCACATCTGCAGGGGGTTTATCTACCACTGTGAGACATCCCACTTCACACACAGTTGTATTTATGGCAGTAGGGTAGGAGAGAAAAAGACTGGAGTTCTGTACTTCATTAGAAGATCTACTTGGAAAGTAATTCCATGCTGTGGGAATTTTGGAAATGCTAATCTTTAGGTAACCATGAAAGCAGGACTGAGAAACGAAGGAGCAGCAGGTTCTGTAGGAAAGCTGGGAAGATACTGATGTGGTTAAAAAACATTACAGAGCTAAGACTGGGCAGTACCAGCCCCGCAACAGCCTTCCTTCTGGAAGTGGTTCCTTCACTGCTGCGAGTGGTTTGTGTATCTTCAGGTCTTTGGAACCACCTGTACTGGTTTGAGTTCCCCAAATCCCCACACTGAGTGTGAGACACTGACACAGGTTCCCCAGAGAAGTTGTGGCTGCGTCATCCCTGGCCGTGTTCATGGATGAGGCTTTGAGCAACCTGGTCTAGTGGAAGATGATCCTGCCCGTGGCAGGGGTTGGAACCACATGAGCTTTAAGGTCCCTTCTAACCCAAACCATTGTGATACACGCACTCTTTAGGTGTGTGCTGTGACATGCTTTTGTCTCTGGTTGAGGGGGTGCACACTACATCACAGCTCCATCTTTCACTGTGAAGCACCTCTGTGTAATTTTTTGGTACATCCTGTGACTTTTTATTACTAAGTTCTACACAGGGAAGTTGGTTGTGGTTTTCTGCTCTGTTCCATCATTACCAGGGTGGATCAATGCTCTTAAGATGCAGAGCTGTAAGACTTCCCTCAACTTTTAGCAGAATAAAACACACGCACCACTTTTACATGTTAAATATTTGTACTAGAAACGAGGTGGTCTTGTTTTGAGGAAGAAAAGGCTGTGTTGAAGCTTTTTATACTCGCCTGCTTCCATCCGCCAAAACCGAGCAACAACTGACCTTCAGGATCTCACTTCCATTACTCACGCAACTCCGCCGAATGGCGGCACGCCGAGAGAGCACCTCTTGTCCCACCAGCTCCATCCCTTCCCTGCCGCGTCCCTCCGGAAACACGGGAATCCCCGTCCCCCAGGGCGGCCGGCATCACGCCGGCACGGACAGGGGGTGCATAAGTTGCGTTCCCGGAGCGATATAACTGGCGGAGCGCCGCCGCCTGGGCTTACCCGGCGCGGCCTCACCCCTTCACACACCTCCGCTCCCGGGTGCAGGTTTCCCCCCATCCCGCTTTGCGGACCCTGGCAGTCCGGCGAGCGCGCTGCTCGCGGGGCAGGTGGACGGGACGTTAACACGGCAGCGCTGCGCCACAGACCCTCCCGCTTCAAGCGAGCGGGCGGTGCCCGGGCGCGCGGGGCCTGCCGGTCGGTCCCGGTGTTGTGACGCAACCCGCGCGGGGTAGTGACGCACGGCCGCCCGGGCGGACGCTCTGTGGTTGGTTGGTCGGCCGGCCGGAGCGGGGGGGGGGAGGGGTGAAGCGGCTCGGCCGCGAGCGGGCGGTGCAGCGCGGTACGGTGCGGGGCCGGGCGGCGCCGGTGGAGCGCGAGCGAGGAGCGGGCGAAGGGCGCACGCGGGAGCGCGAGGGGAACGTGAGAAGGAGCGCGCGCGCGCGCCCCGGCGCGCGAGCCGAGCGAGCCGGCAGTGGAGTGGCGCGGCGGGGAGGGGCAGGCCGCGGAGCCCCCAGCGCAAGGCCGCGAGGCGCGTGGCGGGAGGGAGCGGTGCGCAGGCCGGGCCTGGCCGGGCCAGGCTGAGCTGGGGCGGTGACAGCCCTGAGCGCCGAGTGTAGCCGGGCCGCAGCGCAGGAGCGCGCCTGCACGAGGCGGCCGGCGGGGGCGGGGGCCGGGCCCGGCGCGCGCGCGCGGCGGGGCCGGGGCAGCGGTGGGGGGGGAAGGGGGCAGTAGAGGGGCCGGATCCTATCATGGCCTCGGACGGCGGCGGCGGAGGGGTCGGAGGCGGCGGCGGCAAGATTCGGACCCGGCGGTACCACCTGGGCGCCGCGAAGCCTCCGTATGCGAGGAACAAGCAGGTGAGGCGCGGCGGCGGGAACCCGCGGGTCACCCTCGGCGGGAGGAAGGCCTATTCCCCTAAGCCCCCTCAGCGGCGGGAGCAGGCCCAGCGCGGCGGAGCCTCCCCCTTTTTCCGTCTTTCCTCTTCCACATCCCCACACGTGCGCGGCTTTGGGTCGGGGTTTCCCGGTGGAGCGGCCCGGGGAGCGGAGAAGGGTTTCCCGCCGGGGCCGCGGGCATTGTGGGATTTCCGGGCGCTTTCCCCGCTCCCGCTCCGCCGGCAGTCCCGGCCCTTCGGGGGGATCCTCGCTTCCCTTTTGTCTCCCGCTGAGCCGGGGGAGATGCCCCCGCTTGACATGGAGCGAAGGCGGTAAGCGACCGCGTCGGCTGGGAGCTCCTTCCCCCGCCCTGCGGCTGGGGTGGGCCGGCCACCCGTCGGCGGAGTGGTCGCGGGGTTTTGTCTCAGGGCTGTGCAGTTCCTTAACCACCCCGGGGCTAACACCCGGAAGAATAAACTGCTGTCTGTATGCACCCGTCTCGTAGCGAGTTGTTATCCTTCCCCCCCCCCCCCGTTAAACTAATGCTGGGTTATCAGGCGTAGTTACTCTTCAGATTTAAGTGCGTCGCTTCTAAGATTTGTGTTTCTTGAGAAAGTTAAAATCGCAAATGAGTTTGAGTCGGGCCTCCTCGACTGTTTTTTTTTTTGTGGGATGCTGCATGCAGAGCCCTCGGGTCTGCGTCTGGTAGTTTCTTCAGCCTCTTTCCTGTGACTAAATGTGCTGATGCAGTGCAAGTGAAATGTAATTCATAAGGCATTTGTTCTCCTTTGTATTGTAGGACAGAGTAGATGGATAACAAAAACTAGCGTAAATTGTGGCACAGCAAAGAATCCCATGCCATTTGGAGTGGCTGGAGGGGGGAAGGAAGCAGAGATCTTCCCAACTGCCACTAGCCAAGAAATTGCAAGATGCCTAGAGACAGTGCTCTGGAAATTACTTCCACGTGTACTTATGAACCTGAAGTTGACTGTTCAGCCAAAACCTTTCCGTTATTGCATCGGTAACATAAGCTACGGGGTTGAGTATTATATACAAAATTGAGGGAGTGCTGTGCATGAGTGGTTGCTTGATTAGTTTCTGTTATTTGGGAAGTACTACACTTAGTGTTTTATATAGTGTTGTACAGCAGTGTTGTGCTTATAAAGCTAGGACAGTGACTTTATACAAAGGATCAGTGCGCTTTCAGAGCAGATGTCAACAGTTCTTAGGTGAATGCTGGAATAATGTTGAAATTCCTGTATCTCACGTGTGTTGATCCTGTGTAGGTAACTGATAAACTTTACGCTTGAATTTGAGATAATCAGTCTAGATAGTTTTCTGCCTCTTCCATCGTCTGTTATCTTGGCACTTTTTCTGGTAGGTTTATTTAAACAGTGTGCCAAAGCAGGCACGTGCTTGTGGAGGTCTGTGGGATTCTGCCCAGAGAATGGATGCTGTAAATTGAATACATAGATCAAATTAACAGTAATATACTGGGGGTGGGGGGTGGGGGTGGGAGGTAATTGTAATGATTAAATAAATAGGCAAACTGATAGATGTCAGACATGCCCACTTGTTCTAACGGATAGCTTTTTAACCCTGTGCAGCTAGCTAACCTGCATTACATTCAAAGATGAGCTCTGGGTAGATAGCTAACTTAAATGGGAATTAATTGACAAGTGTTCCTATTTTCAATACGGTGCCCACTCTGCAGAAGTATTCTGCACTTTAGTGTTAATTGTCTCTTGCTAATGAGTCTGGGAAGACAAGAAAGTGCTTAATGCAATCCTGACATGAGGTTATACCTGATTCTGATCCCCCTAAATGTTATCAATAAGTAGGTTCATAGAGATGCTTTATTAGAACTCTTAGAGGTACTTTGTGGTCAAAGCTGCAGTCCTGAAAACCCTCAGTCTCTTCTCATTGAGCTCTGAAGGTGCCTAAGCACAGTACTCAATATAGCTGATGCCTTTAAAGCTCTTGGGACATCTGATTTTTTAAGTTTTTTTTCCCCACTTCTCTGCGTGATGATGAGCATGATGCCTGGCTCATGACTGACTGCTTTCTGGATGTTGTTATTTTGCTGTAGTCTCCTGGGGAGTTCAGTCAGGTGAGAGTTCTCCAATCATGCCCAACATGTGCTGCAGAGTTAGTCTGCTCTAAAGTACAGTGACAGTTTTAGAAGACAGTTGGAAGAGGAGGTGTTGCTGCTGCTGCTTTTTAATGACTATTAGGTAAGTCATTTGTTCAGAATGTGGTAGACCCTGCTTTAGATGCCTTTTTGCCTGGAGGGTTCAACCTACATCTTCCACTTTCTGGGCAAATATCCCAGTTGCCAAGCTGTGTGTTGTCTCCAGTTCTCCTGGCTGAAGCTGTGTTACTATCCAGAAAAAGAAAGCATGATTCACTGAGCCAGAAGGAGGATGTCTAAGAAGATGTTGCTCTCCAAGACTGGAGACATACAGAGACTGATCTTTGATTTCAGAAGGTGTTTTATGTTGGATGTTTCTTGGAGCAAATATGCAAAGCCCAGTGTTTTCTGCCCTTTTCTCAGTAAACTTCAGGGCCGTGCATCATTATGTTTGTGTGCATGTTTTTTTTAAAAATCTAGTCTTTTTTTAAAAGTAGCCTCAAATAGGAAATTTAAACAGATGCGTGGAAGTGAAGACTCTGACTTGCAGTTTGCGTATTCTGGAAGGTGGTGATATGGCTACAGTCCCCACTTGTGAAGGAACTAAGTCATGGCATTTGCCCTTCTACCATCCTGCATTATAAAAAGTGCACTGTCAGCAGTGATACTAAACCAACAGCAGAAAGTAGCAGCACTATTAGGTAAAGATGGTATAGACTCACCCACTGTGAAGGTCTGTGAGGTGGGAATCACATCTCAGAGCCCTGTTGTAGCTCTGTGTTCGGCATTCTGGGGGTAGAACTGAGGAGTCCCTCCGCATTGACTGTGCTTTCCTACTTGTGAAGTGTTGACAGCTCCATGCTGAATGTGTTGATTTTAGATTACACTGTGCTTAGCGTGCTACCTGTTTACTCAGCCATCTCATGCTGAAATATCCAACCTCCCTCTGTATTGTGTAAGGAGCTTAGGCACTTGGGTGCTTCTCTGAGAGCTTCTCTGAGAGCTAAACATGTGCAAGTAAGGAGCTGTTGTGTCTCACATCTGGGTTTCATCTTCCGGATGTGGCCCTGGGGTTTCTGAATGCTGGTTTGTCCTCGTCATGTAGGTAGGCTGATGATAGGGATTACATGGTATGGGTGTGTTACTGCGATGACTGTTTACATTGCTGAGGTATTAAGCAGCTTCTAGTTTAGTATTTGTATATTCCGGTTGTTAATTTTATGTTTAATTTTGTGCTCTTGTGTGTGTGCCCTGGTTTAGCCTGGAATAGTGCCATTCTCGTGCAGGTAACATAGGTTTCAAAGTTTCTAAATGGGACTTATATGAGAAGAGCCTAAAACCACTTGTTTTGGTTATTTTTTTAATTTGATAATTAACTATTCAAATGAAAATGTCAAGGAACTTTGACTCACCTGAACTTTTAAGCTCATACAAGCAGATTTGAGCATGAGAAAAAACAATTACCTGAAAAGTCTTCATAACCTTCCCATAAACCTGCATGTTTATGTTAAGCTTCAGCCTGGAGCTGTTTGATATTAGAGATAATATTTGTAGATTGAAACTTCTGCTGTGGAGCGATAAGTTTTTGTTGTGTTATTTTTTTTTTCTTACACATGTACTTGCCTGTGCATATTTATAATGTAGATATGCTGCATGATACACAATAAAATGGTCCAAAGGTGTTTCTGCACGTTTGTAGTTGGTTTTGCACTGGTGTAGTTAGGATATTAGCTGAAAGAGGGGAGTAAGCAGCAGCTGCAAGGCACTTTCGCTAGTCCTGATCATTAAAGTCCTGTCTGGATTAGTGAGTTTCACAAAGTCACTTGAGAAATCGTGGGAGATTCTTCCCAGATGAAGTAGCCATGGTATCTGGAGCTTAGACTATATGCAGCAATGTTTTAATTGTTACTTTATCACCTGCTGCTGTCTTGAAGGTAGGCCAGTTGTAAACTATTGTTTGGAGTATGCATGGCATTTTCTTGTTGGGTGCTGACTGCAGGCAGTGGGCAGATGGGATCTTATAAACCACCAGGTTTATTTTGGGAGGAAATTATGAAACTCTCATGCTTAACAGTTCCTAGAGTACTGTGTTGAGTAATGCAAACTAGGTAAGGTTTCGTAAACATAAAGCAGGAAAATAGTAATTTAAATACCCTTTATTAAGAATGTCCATAGGGACCAACATGAGTGTAATTGTATTGGCTTAACTCCTATCAGGTACAATCCTATTGTACCTAGAAGCCTGCTTAGGTGGCTGTATTTAGGATTGTATGCATCTCTGCTTGTTTCGGTTTAGTAGTAGGCTAGCACATTAAAATGAATAGATTTGAAGAAATGTTTAGTATTTATTAAAAAAATTTATTTTAAATGAATGGGGTAGTAGTTAACATCAGAGGTTTTGTCTCTGTCCCAGCAATATCAGATGGTAGTAGTAAACCAGATGTTTAAATGTGGTACTTGGCTTTCTGCTGCTACTGGAAACAGAAATGTATCCTAACTGGGAAGAACTTTTTAAGCTGAGATATTGATAATTTTCTCTCATTTAGGCTAACAGTACTGCCAGTGGTACAACAAATTTGGAATGACGATTGCTATAGCATTTTTTAATATTTTGGGGTTTGCCTATCAAAGTATTATCATGACAGCCTTGGAGGCTGTGAAGTGTTGGAAAAAAAAAAACAGTATTAGTGAGCAGTACTTTAGGAGAGGAAAAAAGCAGATGAAATAGACTGTTAGGTGGGACACTGCAAATTGCCTTTGGTTCCTGGCAGCATATCACTTCCTCAGAGTTATTTATTCCTCCAGTCAGTAATTAGAACCGGTTCTTGCTCCCCTGCCATGGAGGAGCTGAGCTGCTGCTGATTCGAAGGACTGTGAGAGGACGGAGTTCAAAATGTCGTTGTGTGCCTAAAAAAGTTTGAGCAGAGCTGTTTCAGAGGGATGCAGATGTGGGCTACCGTAGCCTCTGTAACAAATATGTATCACAGTGGGATGACCTGCTCAGTGGACTTGGGGTGAGCAGTAGATGTTGTTTACCTGCACTTTTAACAAGGACCTCGGTATGGTCTTCTGTGTTATCCCTATAGTCCAGCTGGTGAAATGCAGACTTGTCAGGTGGACTGTAAAGTAGTTGAAAAATTAGTTGGGACCATTGGCCTCAAAGGGTTGTCAATCAGCAGTAGAAAATTCTAGTGACAGCTGCTTGTGAGTAGAGGCTCTTGGAGATTGATATTGACGTCTGTATTAACAGCATGGGATGAAGGAATGGCATACATCCTCAACGGGCTCCCAGATGATGCCAAACCTAGGGGAACATCAGCCGTATTGTATAGTGAAGGATGGGATTGCTTCTGAGGGATCTTGATAGAAATGGGCTGCTGGGAGCCTCATGAGGTTTGATAAAGGCAAATGCTGAGTCTTTCATCTGGGACAAAACAACCCCACCTACTTGCTGGACAGCAAATTGAACCTAAGTCAGCAGTATGCCATTGAGGTAAAGAAGGCCGACTGCATTCTGTGTGGTATTAGTAAGAATGTGGGAAGGGTATTGAGGAAGATATTTTTTCTGCTCTATTCAACACTTTTAGGACTGCATTTGGACTGTTGTGTCCAATTTTGGTCTTTCCAGTACCAGAAAAAAAATGTTTACATACTGGAGTGAGTCTAGTTGTAGGCAACCGAAAGGATCAGGGGGGTGAGACAGCTGTGTGTATTCAGCTTAAGAGCAAATAATAAACAAGAATATAAAGAAGGTACACCAAGGCTATTGTAGAAGGTTCACTGCAACAGGAAAAGAGACAATGGACTCAGTTGCAAAAGTGAAAATTCTGAGTTAATACCGGGACAAGCCTGTTAACTGTGAGGACAGCCAACATGTTGGAAGAACTGCCTAGAGAGTCTCCATCCCTGGAGCTGCGCAAAACCCAAGTGGGCACAGCAACCTGTTCTTGGCCTTTCTCTGAGCGGGAGGTTAGAGTAGGTGACCTGGGGTGTGATTTCAGTGTAAATGTCAATGTTACTCTAGGCTGATAATCCTTTTGTTGGTCCATCCTCTGTTTTCAAGGGAAGAGATAATGCCTCCTGTCTCGCCCCTTGGATTTTTATCTAGAGTAAATTGCAGGGTTGCCCTCAAGAACAGAATAGCTAAGAGGCTTTTCTCTTTCTTTAAAAACAAAAACAAAAAAATTACGTGGTCATTTTCTGCTGTTAAATTGCAAAAAATCCTCGAGGTTTTGCATTTTAAAGTTCTGTCTAATCGATCCAGTATTTATTGTGTAGCTCTTGTACATCTACAATATGTTGGATGTATTTATACAGTCATGAGAGAAGGAGGAGTTGCTCCTTAGTGTACATTTCTTGGTATGTACTACTAAGACAACATCATGAAAACTTTCCTCTGTGCTTTTTGTAACAATACAAGTCCTCAGTGATTAAGAATGAAATGTCCACCATGTTCTTCTACTGAAAAATCCTAGCCATTAGGCAGATTTTTTTAATTACTTGTTCCGGTATTAGATTACTTGTCTATGCGTTTTTGTGAACAGCTGCCCTAAATCTATTTCTTGTTTTCTTTTGTACACATCTCTTGTGGTAGGTATCTTTCCTCTTGGCAATACATTCCATATTTTATTTTATCACAGAATCTCAGACTTGGGTTGGAAGGGACCTTAGAGATCATCCAGGTCCAGCCCCCTGCCACGGGCAGGGACACCGTCCACTGGCCCAGGTTGCTCAAAACCCCATCCAACCTGGCCTTGAGCGCTGCCAGGGGTGGGCAGCCACAGCTTCTCTGGGCAACCTTTTCCAGTGCTTCACCACCCTCACAATCAAGAGCTTTTCCCTAATACCTAATCTATATCTCTCCTGTTTCAGTTTGCTACGCTTAAAGTCTTTACTTGCCTTGTCCTTATGCCTAAATGCCGCAGGTCTTATCTGCCTGTTAGAAGTGTCTAATTGAAGGTACAATTTAAATGCACTTTTTAAGCCAAAGAGATGGTAATTTTGCTAACAGTTGAGCTCCTTGAAGGTGGTGTTATTCATGCTATATGTCACCACCTCTGGTGGGAGATTGTTAGACAAGCAACTTTGTTGGTGGAAGGGACTGGGTATGTAATCTCTAAACCCTTTAAGCCAAATCAGTTGGACCGTCTTAAAACTGAGTGAAGGCAAGCATGAGCTAGCTTGTTTGACTTTGCCTGAAGCGTAAGTAGTTTTGCAACTTGCTGATACAGTGTTTGTCACTGTGGTATTCTAGATTACTGTACAAAAATACTAATTAAAAGATCTTCTGTTAACTGTAAGATTTGGTTTTCTTTGTTTTTATTGGAGAGTTTACAAATACATTCTCCTTCTTTTGACAAGAAAAGACTTTTTCTCCCCTTTGTCTAGGAAATGCAACAGCACTAAAGCTTTTGTATTAGGGTAACTAGTAATTTCTGAGGGGGAGAAATTTCCTTTGAGTTTCTGTAACTTATAATTGTGTGTTGAATTTAATTACAGTGTTTTTGTGATTGGCTTGGTTGTGACCATTTTTTTTTTTTTTTAAAGAAGCATCTTTTTGTTCATCTTTGCCAGGAAAAACTTACACAAACACATGGACACTAGCATGCACTCAAGTCTGACAGTTTTAGCACACACACACTAGCATTGCCTGCAGAAAATTTTCTCCTTGCTGAGGTTATTCATTACTGTCTCCATAGCTCTGCTATGGAAAGAGTTGGGTGAGAGTGTCCCGGAGAACTGACTTTGCTTTTAGTTGTGATTGTGTTTTGAATCAAACTCTTTGCTTAAGGCAGGTGAGTCTCCTGACTTCGTCCACTACTAGACCTCAAGGCCTGGTGACTTCCAAGAGTACAGTAAATCAAGCAAAGAGTTAAACAGGTCATCTGGTCTTTTCTTTGAGTTGCAGGTCTAATGTGTAAAGATCTTTGCCTTAAATGCAGGAAAGAGAAAGAGCTTGCCATTTCTATTATAAATTCTACTTGGTGAAATAGAAATGCTGTAATGAATTGGGTCTTACTGTATAGAGAATACCTACAAGATAGATACTTTAATGCAAGAACTGTGTATTTGAGTCCTAAATATAAAATGTGTGTTAGCATACTGTGCTAAATCTGGTTAACTTGTACTAATGGCCTTGTAAAGACCATCTAGTGCTATTTGAAATAGATTTCTTGATCATTCTGATTTTAAAAACTTAAAACTTTCTGTCTGTGTGGTTATGTCAGAGTTTGCTCTGTGGCAGTGTGGCAGTCTTTCAATAAATAAATAGCAACTGTGCTTACAGTCCCTTCTTAAATTGAGAAAGAACCCCTTTAAAAATGCTTGTGAAGTATTAAGTCAAAGTAGTTCTCTTTAATCTTAATTTTTTTTGTTTGTTTTGATGATGATAGATTTCTGTCTCAAGAGTGTAGCAGTGAACATACACTCAGTAATTTACAGTGCCCATCACTGGTCAGTGCTGAGGATGAACTAGAACCTAATGTAGTGCTTTTACAACGAAGGAAGAAAAGTGCCCTGTACTTCGTGTGCTCTTTGTAATGTCACAGTGTAATGTCACTGTGTCAACTAAAGGTGTGAACAGAGCATGAGATAAAACCATTCAGTGTGACAAGGATTTAACCTAGTGGGTTATCATTGATTTAGCTACTCGAGCATGCACTGGCATTTTGCACTCAGATGGAAGTGATAATGATGGGTACAGATGTGCAAACAGTGCCAAAACGTAAAACAGCACCTGAAGTTTCCTGTACTGCTTATTCTAAAGCTAACTAGACATAGGACAATAAGGCTCACTTCAAGCAATGAAAAGGAAATATACTGGCATCTGGTATCATAATCCCTTCTTCATGATTTTTAGAAATAAATCTGATCTAGTCCGCTTGCCTTAAAGAAAATTGTTGTTTTAAAATGTTACATAATTAATGGCATTCCTGGAACATATTGTTCATATTAAGTCATAGTTTTATTGTCTTTTTTTTTCTAAATGAAATGTCAAACTCTGCTGTCCTTCATCCAAATTGAAACCAGTCCCCAAGTAGCAAAAGCAGAGTTAGTTTAAGCCGGTCTGAGTTTGCTGCTGCAAGAGACAATCATGTCATGTTCCCACTTCTGTTTCTGCAGCCCAGCCACGTGGTAAGCTGGACCAGTGACCTTGAAGGGCAGTCCTCACTATCACGGTGTGTAGGTGAATTTTTGGCGGGATCTTTTAGATAGAGCCCTGATACAGTTTGTCCCTTTGCTGCATACGTGTGCTGGCAGCAGAGCAAGGGAAGGGTGAGTTGAAGAGAGCAGAAAGGGACAATCTTTAATGGCGGTACAGACCCAGGATGGTTAAAAGAATGGATAATCTTTGTTTCTTTGTCCTGGCTCCCTGATCTTGCTTTCTCTCAGGCCAGTTCTGGTGCGCTGAGCCAGTTGAACTCATTAGTCCAGCAGAGAAACATGTACTTTCTTTGCCAGATTAATGAATTCAGCTAGTATGGAGAGTTGCTGTTATGTGCCAGAGCTGGTGTGAGGTAACCATGGGGGATGGAGAGGGCATGAAAATGTTTTCAGTGGTTGAAAATGGTTAGATCTGCTCTATAATGGTGAACTTCACTGTTAGGTGCAGGTTTTCTTTTTGAGGAATCACTGATTCATATGTTCTAACAACATGAACTTTGAAATGGGAAGCAAATAAATCTCAGAGGCCTGGAGGTAAAAATTTCATGCTTTGCAGAGGTTTGTATACAGTGAAGTGGAAATTAGTTCTTTTATCTGGTTATGTATTTTGCATCTCTGTGCACATACATGTGTCCTGGGTTCAGCAGTAGCAGTCATTTTTCTCCTTCTTGGTAGCTGGTGCAGTGCTGTGTTTTGACTTTCGGGCTGGGAACAGAGCTGAAAAAAATGGTGTTTTGGTTTGACAAAGGACTTTGTGGGCCTCATGCTCTGCCAGAGAGGAGGGGAAGCCGGGAGGAAGCAGAGACAGGACACCTGACCCAAACTAGCCAGAGGTATTCCATACCACAGCACATCATGCCCTGGATGTAACTGGGAGTTACCCAGAAGGGGGAGTGGACTGAGTGTTGGAGGAGGTATCAGTTGGTGCTTGGTCGGGCTGGGGGGGTGAGTTATATCGGTTGGCTGATGGTGAGTGGTTGTATTCTCTTCCCTTGTTATCTCCTTTATCATTATTAATATTGGTGGTAGCAATAGTGATTTGTGTTATACCTTAGTTACTAAACTGTTCTTATCTCAACCTGTGGGAGTTGCATTCTTTTTGATTCTCCTCTCCATCCCTCCAGGAGTAGGGGGAGGGAAAGAAGGGGGGGAGTGAGTGAACGAGCTGGGGTTAAACCACAACAGTTCTTTTTGACGCTCAGTGTGGGGCACGAGGGGTTGAGATAATGACAGGTCTGACTGGATTGATAGGCACTCATCACAATGCTGATTCATTGGCTCTCAGAGTTGTTCCTCTTGATCTCACAGCTTCAGAATGTAGTACATTACTTAGACCAAGTATCTGCTGTGTTAGTATTTACCAAGTGTGGGACTTGGGCTAAGGTTCCTGTCTCACTGTACTTTATGGCAACGACTTGTAATATGGGCGGGCTCCAGCAGCAGGGTGGGACAGATGTGGCCGTGGACTGGTAACTGGCCGTCCAGCTGTTCCTCACCGTCCTGGCCCTCGCCCTCACCTCTGTCTGCGTGAGGCCGCGGGGAGCCGAGGGGGAGCGGCCCTGGGAGCCGGCGGCTGCTGAAACTGCCCGGGAGAGCGGCCCCGGAGACCAAACAGGAGCGGGGCCGGAGGCCGTGAGGGGACGGCTGCCAGTGGAGGAGCAGAAGGAGGCAGCAGCCGAGCAGAGGGACAAGGTGGCGGAGGAGCCCAGCCCCACGGCCGAGGCAGCCCCGCGACAGCCGAGACCATTCCCCAGACAGGCGGCCTGGGAAGAATACAGGGATATTGTCCCGGAAGCTAGGGACCAGGTTAG